GTGGTGGTGGTGGTGTGGCTGGTGGTGGTGGTGGTGGTGGTGGTGGTGGTGTGGCTGGTGGTGGTGGTGGTGGTGGTGGTGGTGGTGGTGGTGGGGGTGGGGGTGGTGGTGGGGGTGGTGGTGGTGGTGGTGGTGGTGGTGCTGGTGGTGGTGGTGGTGGTGGTGGTGGTGGTGGTGGTGGGGGTGGTGGTGGTGGTGGTGGTGGTGGTGGTGGTGGTGGTGGTGGTGGTGGTGGTGGTGGTGGTGGTGGTGGTGGTGGTGGTGGTGGTGGTGGTGGTCGCGGCGGGCAACAAGAGCTGCAGCTGCAGCAGCGGCAGCGGCATTGGCAGCAGCAGTGGTTGCAATTGCGGGAAGACCAGTATGTAGCGGGTAGCGTTTAAGCGGACGAGAATTCAGCAACGCGGGTCAGGCTCTGCAGTGCCTGGAGCCGATTTTTGTGCTGCGGCTGCGTCGCCCATCGGACCGAGCAATGGCGCGCTGGCCGCTACTATTTGGAGGATTCCAGAAGATTTAGAGGTCCATGTACTACTGATTGAGCTGCTTAGAGATTCCTAGTGGACGGTGCATCAGCTGTCATAAACCACAGCGCTACAGCTATGTTAAATTTTCTCACCCTTGCCGTTCTGATCTCGATGCTCTCACCACCACTTATGCCATGCTTATCACTGATTTCATCACTTACTACGGGGGATTCCGGTCCTCCGAAGGTGAGGCAGCTCAACATTCCGTCCAGGGATAGCTGAGGACAGGTGTTCGGATGAAAGGAAGGTATGACTGCAAGCAACTTGGCAGAGCTCGTTGTCTGAGAGCAGAGTTCGCGATTCGCTACCATTCACTTGACAAAGCCAGCAGTCGCAGGTCACTGTGACACATTGCACCGATAATCGAGTCGCCATCTCCATGTGCGAGCAAGGCATGGGCAGGGAGAGCTTCCGTGCGCTATGTTGACAGATTCGAGCGAGACAAAGCGCCATGACATGTTTCACATGCTTCACATGCAAACATAGAAATATTCCTGCCAACAAGGCCAACACAAAGGCTGAGTGCAGTGCAGCAAGGAGCCCGGCCCGTGGCCCGGCGGCACCAAGACATGAATGAGGTCGCCGCCTTAGCATCCGAAGACAGTGAGGTGCCCCGAGGCAAGTCAAGCTGCTCAGGCTCAACCTGGTACAAGAGTACCACTGTCAGTGCGAGGGGGCAAAGGAATGTGCAAAACTCACGCAAATTTGCCGAGCTTCATATTGATATCCACATACTGTATTGTGCGAGTGGCAGCTCTACTTCCTCACGCTTCGCTTTCCCCTGAGACGTGGGCTGGGGGCGACGACTTCCAGTGTGTCTCCCTCTCCGCAGCCTGAGGAGTCACGCTGTGAACTTCGTGGTATGCCGTTCGACATTCACGGACTGCCCAACCTAAACCTGTACTGGGGTTGCGACCATCCGGGACTCGCACCTGGGCCGTCAGGCATCGATTTGGCAGGTACAGCAGGGAATTTGGACCGGTTGAGGGAGAGTTGGATTCATCCTGACACAGTGTCTTCATACTGCTCTGCATAGTCTGCCCAAGAGCCACCCGCAAGAACGTGCACGGTTTTTTGGTTCTTGCACCTACCGCCTGGCACATGGCAATCCGGTGCACTGCCTGCCTTGATCTGCATCAGTCCACCCTTTGTGGTCGATCCACGCCTCAGCGCTCTGTGGAGACTTGGATCCTTCTGACACGGAGACGGATCTGAGGCTCCGTCTGGATCTCCTCTTCGGCCCAGGACTCGTCGTCATCTACCTGGCGACATTCAGGAGCAGAGCCGCGGAAGGATGCGAAAGTGCGCAATGGCTAGAGATCCAGCTCGTCATCAGTACTGTCATCATCATTACCGCCATCGCCATCATCACCATCATCACCGTCATCCTCCGTACCATCATCACTGTCATCATCATCATCATCGTCCTCATCATCATCATTATCATCATGGTTTTAGATTTGCCCGTAATTTCAGTGGTTACCAGTACTTGGAAGTAGCATCAGAGTGGTAATGTCAATCTTCAAAACCGACGACCGAAAGAAACACCTCTTCTAAAAACAACAAGCAGCAACTTCACAGCCAGGAGCTCTCAACCCGAAACCCTGGAAACCAGGATTGCCTCCTCGGCCCTCCTTTCTTCCTGGCACTGCTTGCGGATGTCGAGTTCGGATCTTAACAGTTTACTTGTCTTACACTTTAGGGTCGTACATCGTTCATGTCCGTTTCCGGCGAAATTAGGGGCCTTGAATGACCGCCAACCGCGATTGGCTGACTGGATTACCTCCTTTCACCGGGCTAGATAACCACAGTTCCATAGTTGCTCAAAGCGCTTGGTCAAGAGATCAGAAATCGAGTGTACGCAAACTCTCAAAACAGCAGACGGCTTATGAATAAGAAAGGCCTGATCGAGAACCAAGCGTTCATTGACCAGCGCCGGACTGCCCTAACTTGCAACCCTAATATTGGTCCATGTTAAAACCGATGGGAAAAACGAGCCCGGAGGAAAACCAACCGATAGTGAAACGATACCGGTAGGTACTCGGGCATCGCTGTGTATGCCCCCAGCATGGGTTTCGGAAGGCATCTATGGATCCACTGTGATTTCAAGCAATCCTTTCGCGACACAGGTTCTCACATAAGAAAAGTCTTTAGAAATCTATGTTCGAGGCGTTCCAAGCGATAACACAGCGAAGGAAGGCTAATAAAGAAGAAGCAGCTGCTGCAATTTGAAGCTCGCTTTCTCACTGCCCTGCAGAGATTTACGTGGAAGTCCCAGCACTGGTGAGTCGAAGACCGGCTTGCCTCCCGTGCCGCCGCCACAGCGGTGGCTGCAGCTAGGAGATCCGGCCTCCATTTTACAGGGAAGGTTCCCGGCAAGCAAGGTTCAAAGCTTCGATTTGACGGCTTCGTCCAACTCGGACTGCATCATCGAAGTACTAAACTACGGCTCAGGCTGACTCCTCTTCCCTAACATGCTGCAAAATCTGCGTTCCGAGGCCTGGTGGCCGCTGTGCCAGGGGCGAGGCCTGCCCTTTCCTGCGACGGCCAGAAGAGCGAAGGCGGAGACCACTACTTCTGCGAGTGGTGAGGACATCCTTGTGGAGTGGGATCTGGTCTGGTCGTTGAGTGTGCTTTGTCTGGTGATCCCATGCTCCATGCATGCTCCATGCGTCCCTCGAGTAACCCGCGATGGCCATCTGAAACCCATGCCTGACCGTTGTCCCACACACGAGATGCAGGCGTCACCCGGAGGCAATGTCAGCTGGTGTTCCGACTGTCTTGTCGTGCGCGATTCTCGTCGAAGCAGCAGTCTATCTTTTTCATCTTTCAGCTGTTATGGCAAACAGCACGCAGTCTGACATGAAACACCACCTCGTAGTTTCGCTTTCTGCTTCCCGTGGATGGAAAACTGTCCGTGATCGAAAAGTTGCGGGCACATGTGTGCGACTTATAGGCAGCTCGCATCAACAGAGAAACTGAACTTTCAGAGATCTGCCCCTTACCCACCCAACCACTACATGCCTGTCAACCGCCACAGAAGCCGACGGTTCAAAAGCCAGCACATGCAGGCAGCCGTTCTGACCGATCAGCCACACCACGCCTCCTCTTCTCGTTGAAGCTCAGCTGCGATAGCTGCGTCATCCTGCGCGACTCTGACTTTTTTATGCAAAAGCCGATTGAGCATGTATACACTATGAACATGCGCTTCCCCTTTCCAGTTGTCACCGCTTACGTCACTACTTCGGCTCTCATGAACGACCTCGACGTCTGCGTGGATGTCAGCTTGCATTGCAGCTTCCTGCGCTTGGGGCACTTGCGACGCAGCGCCAGCCAAGCTTCCAAGCTCTACAACACAGAACCGATCTTCGAATGCACAGTAGTATGCGGTCTAGTCCGGCCTGTGTCTGCCTGAAATCAGATATGGATGTTGCCCACTCTTAACACATTCATGCAGTAGAGTACCTTTAGGGTCTGCAGGTTTACATGACAATGATCTCATGCCTCCGCAAGTATGTATGTCACTGTGCACTTACGTCGTCCTGGACCTGGAGATGTGGGCTGCCCGAGGTGGCCGCCTGCAGCTGCAGGGCACAAACACACGTCTGATTAGAGCCCTCTGCGGCAGCGAAGTTCCCTCAATCTCGCAATCGTCACGATTGCGAGTGTATTCTTCTGGTGTTCCTACTGCTGTAGGGGATCTACGGACCAGCCACGGCCTGGGCCTGGGTCGCCTGGGCTTCGGGCACCTGGGCCTCGCGAGAGTGCAAGACTCGAGGCAGAGTTGGAGCAATGGGGGTCATTTAGTCATTTTTCCTCCATGGAACCCCCAACTCCGGGATATGTGGTGTGCGGTGTGCTCCAAGTTGGCTCACTGTTCCGGCTCTGCGGTTTTACGAGCTGACACGGAGCCGGATTCAATTCACGGCACGTGCTACACCACGACGAATACAAACGAACCACAAGCAAGTCGATCCGCGTTGGCCAACTTGTGCCACAGCAAGGTGCTTTTGCATGTTCAGGACCACTGGACCTTCGTCCGCTCCAGCGCGTCGATGTCCAAAAGTTTCTGCACGTGGCTGTGAATTCCGCACCACGTTCGAAGGGATGCTTTCCCCAAACCGGTGCAAGAGCCGTGGAGCTTCGTACGAAGATCTTCCAACACTGCCTGCGCCCACCAGCCAACAGACGCTAGCAGCTATAATCGCTGATCGAAGACAGGCGCAATGCAGTACAACACCATATGATGCGAATGACTATGCACCTGGTGGCTCACTCTTACGACCTGCGAGCCTCACAAAGAACTTCCCGGAGGGCCTGCAGCACCGGCTTCATCTTCTTGTGCAACCTTGGGCTGATGGCTACCGTGAGGGCAGATAGGGAAGGGCTGCCTTTCGTGCAGCATCAAGGGCTTTGACACCCCCATCCGTGCACATGGCCTGCCTTTTTCCAGGAAGCGAGCCTTTGATCAAGAGGGCGCCTGCTAAAGTTGAGCAAAGGAAAGCTTTGACTGAACCCCATCCCGAGGGAAAAATGCACATGCAGGATGCTGCCGTGCAGAAAACCTCCTACGAACTACGGCGCTTACAGGTCCTTCAGAATTTCCGTGGCATTCATGTCTGCCAAACGGGAACTCGAGACTCTACTGATGCAGATCCGCATTTCGGCGTGCTAGTCTGCCTCGGTTACGGCTAGGCTCGTCTCAGAGAGCTTACAATTCAATAGATGCAGCAGCCCAGGCTCCAGGGTTTGCAGGGAAGACTTTCGGCCGCGTGGCTGGTTATTTCTGAGAGCGCGGGACAGTCGCCCAAATGACTACATCGCCTTGCACAGCTACTCAAGTCCCACACTCTTTCAGCTTGCATTGTTGCCTGCAGTCGTGTTGAACGGCGGCCATCCTAGCCCTAGCCTCCATGGAGCTTGCAAGCTCATGAATTCAAAACGGCACCGCACACGGGTTTCTACAAGGCAGCCAGAAACCGAACTTTGATACTGCACGGAAACTCCTGGGTGTTAGCATTCCCTGTCCTCGTGGAAGCTAGTGGATCGGAGATGTATGGCGATCTAATTTTCTGGAGGCTACTCTCTTCTGCTCACAAACAGCGCCAGTGGCTCGGGCTTGATGAGTGATACTGCATCGTGGCAACAGGTTCTACTCTCACAGCGAACTCCTCAGGAGCGCATCTTCTGCGGCTTCCTTAACTCCGGTGCAAAAAAGCCTTTTACAATCTGGCAAAGACATGTCACTGTCATGTCACTGCAAAAGACCCTGTCATGTCACTGCAATAAAACCCATCCGTCGGCTCGATCTGAAAATGGGCGCATCTTATTGCATATAGCAACCTTCAACATCCCTGTGATGAGATGCGATCCACGTCATTCATTGTTCAACGACCACCGGTTCTGTTGCGCTCAGCGGCTAGCTCCTGGTCGGGGATGGCACCCAGCGAGTAGTCGCAACTCGAGCCCTGTGAGCAGGCGGTCACTCAAACTGTCATCGCGTTCCTTGGCAGACTAATTATGAATGATGGTGTCGCCACTTGTGAAGTCACCAAATCTTACGTGCCGGCTCGAGCCACCTGTCAAGGCCGAAGCTTGCCGAAGCCGGCTCCCAGAAGCCCACAGCGCTGTCCAACAAGACCAAGCGACTTGAAGCGATTGCAGCAGCGATGCGAAGTCTGTGCACACCTGGCCACGCAGAACAGGCAGGTGTCAAAGCCGTACTTCATGTGCCCGGTACGACTCGCTTCGCTCGCACCTCATCGCCACCTTCGGGCTCTGCCACCAAGTCAAAAGAACGATCCCGATAGTCACCTTCGTTCTATGCAGCATGGCATCAGGGCTTGTCGATGGCCGCTTACACGGGCACCGGCTACTTCGAAGTGCTGCTTCAATTTCAGACACGGGCTCCGTTTGCCGCTCCTTTGCATGTTGTCTTTCTGCAGCTTCCACGGCGACAGGCTAACAGAACTTCTCTCCGATGAGACTGAATATTTGTTGATAACATCTCAAGTTTCCAGCTCCGAAACCAGATGTGAGAGAACACTCCATCTAAGTGGCTTTGCACCAGGCTTTGCAGAAGCACCTGGAACGATCAGGCTGAAGCACGTTTGGGAAAGGAGAGCCACTGACCTAGCGCAAGCCAGTCCAACAGCTCGACAGCACTGGGCAGTTCCATGCAGGAGCCCGGAACAATGCAACACGTGTTGCCAAGTCTGGAAGTTGCTTAGCTGCGAAGCTTCCAACTCAGCCAATGTTTACGCTGACGTCGCGAAAAATGCAGTTCTCCGGCCTTTCCGGGCTGACCTTCGACCCAAAGTGCATGAGGTCTTCAATATCTTAAGGGCTGGTTGTCAGCTAGCGTGATGCACTCCATGGCACTTCTGCCACATCTTCGCGGGGAATGGAACGCGACTCTGTGGGCACCTTGTCGTCCACGCCGACCACCTCAAAACGGAATGCTAAGTCCTGGCGGTTCTCTTTCCCTGACAACCCCTTAGTCGATTCTGTGTCAGGTCTCGCAGGTGGGCTACCTCGAAATTGGGGGCTGTTCGCTGCCGGTAATTACCAATGTCTGAGCGTGCGGGTGGTGTGCTTGCATCCGACTGCTCATCCTGTCGCAAGAGATCCACTCTTGGATCTTCTCTCGGCAACCAAAATGCTGCAGGGCGGCCAAAGTCCTCTTGCCTCCTGGCTCATTCAACAGACCTGGCTCACAAGCTTCGGCCAACGCATGAGTTCCCACAACTCGCCCGCACGTGGAAAGACAATGAAAGACACAGCTACTACCTCCAGGATTCTGCCTGCTCTAGGCTTGGAGACAGACTTCTGCAAGGGCAGCTCCCGACTCCTACGTCAAGCGAAGTAGCCTCCAGGATGGACTATGGTGTAAGTCAAGCCAGAGTCGATCAAATACTTCTCCGCTTTCCTGGGAGGTCGGGCCGTGCTTCCCCAATACATCGACGTCACTGGTTGGGGTTCAGTCTTTCTGCGAAAGCACAACTTCTCTCGCGTTGCGTTGACCATCGACTACCGCTTAACAAGGGCCGGGCTCCGCTTCCAGAGCAGAATGCCGCCGCCACGGCCATCGGTCGTCCGGCCAAAGCGATTCAGCATGTGGTCCTCCAGAACCGAGCCACGGTCTGACATCCAACAGCTCTTGAAACTTGCTCTTACCCAGCCCATCTTGGAAATGTGTAAAGTGGTAGTTGTAAAATAGACAAGGAAATTGAGGAAAGGCTCCGGGTTTGTTCCACCCATAGAGCTGCAGATGGTCACGTGGCCAACCCCAGCCAAGCGGGCCGCATCGATCTGCGCTTTCCTTCTGTCAAGCAAGGCCGCAAGTCTCAAGCTTTGGCACAGGAGCCGGAACTGTGCTCGAGAGTCAGGTGTCTGTGTGTGTGTGTGTGTGTGTGTTAGCCTTCTGAGTATTTGCTGAGACTGTCCTAAATGAGGCAGCAGATTTTTCTGTACCATGGACCTCGAGCGAGGGATCACCCCACCGTGATGTCTATCATACGAATTGGGTGCATCCTGTCCGATTGCGGCAAGCGACTGTGCCAACCAATCCACCAAGTACGGCTGCCCATCAGGGAATCCTCAGCGAAGCAAACATCTCGCCTCTCCTGAAGCAGCGAAATTCGCCCGTTCAAGTTGCTCAAGCAGCAACCAACTCCTGGCCTTTACGGCGCTGACGACTCAAATTCACTGATGCTATCGGAGCGGCCCATATTGGGGCGCCCTGTCTCTGCGTTGGTGCCACCTGCGTTGCAGCATTACTGCAGCGTCTTTTGTCTTGGGCCGATCAGGACAGAGTGCAAAGACTGGGCCGTTACTGTGGCTTCATGATCCAGCACACTTGAGTGCTCGTGGCCACAAACCTTGTTATTGTATGTTGCTGCGAAACTACGCCCAACTCGTAGATACTCGTAGCAGGTGTCTGAAAAGGTGGAAAAACCGGTGTCCTGCCACTGCCAGCCTGTGGGCTTCACTTTGGCCGAACTTCCGATGACGAGCGCAGCGCAGCCTCACAGGCATTCGCAGGCTACTGCTGCATTCCATGTCCGAAGCACATCTGCCTGAAACCAACACCCAGACGACCGGCCTGCGAGCGCAGCCGCGAGTGCGCGGCCGGCGTTCCCTTGCGGTTCCTGGGCAGCCTCCACTGCTGGGCACTGTTGATCTTTGTCGCTATTTGTCGCTATACGTTGCTGCCCTCTGCTGCAAGCCGGTGTCCAAAACAACCGATTTAAAAGCTGTCAACGGTCGTGACTCGTTTTCTAATCTGACGCACAATCCAACACATCTAAAAGTGTTGGCTTGATCCTTGACGGTCACCCTGAAGATTGCATGCCCAAAAAACCTAAAATGGGTTTGTCAATTCAACCTTCCGCACCGGCTGCGGTCAATAACATCTCCAGAGACTTGCAGCGACAGCTCAAGCGTTGGTGCAAAAAACTAGGAACGCAGGGCTCTATGCCATGCTGTGACAGGATGCCAATGCACTTTCAGATATGCTGAGCTTTCGCATTGCATTGCTTAGCGACGGCAGTTCGAGCTTGCCTCCAAACTGCACGAAAGCGACCAGGCGAGTCGAACCAACAGCCACGAAGAGGCAAATCAGCATGAACAAAAACAGACGCCTCTGCCAGGTCCACGACAACCACCTCGACAAGTTGAAGAAGAGGCTTTAGGAGTTTGATTGGGTGCGCAATGCTGCAAGCGCTTGTCAAAACGGGGTTCAACTTATGTGGTCCCCTGGCAACCCCGTACCACGGGCTTTTTGCTGCCCTGAGGGCAGTTCAGGGGGCCGAGCATGCAGCATGAGCAAGACTGAAAGCCTGACGCAATCTCCGTCAAACTGACACACAGACTGGTACTCAAACTCGAGGACACACGGGCACAAATGCACCCACAACAAAAAAAACAAGAGAGGCAGACGGGCAGAGACAGAGACGATCAACTCCAAAGAAAGAATAGACTAAGAAGAACCATCAAAATCAGAAGATTCAAATTAATTTAAACACCGCCAACAACAACCAGCACCAGCACCAGCTCAACACCACCACCGCCACCACCACCACCACCACAACAAGCACCACAACCAAGCAACCGAGTAACCAACCAACCTAGAAAACATCCAGCCAACCAGTCGACTCGACCGACCGACCAACAAACTCTCGCCTGCTCGGGTGCGGCGCCTGTGGCTTCCAGGAGCGCCTCCCACGGCGGATGCTATGTAGACTTAGTAGGGGCTTGGAAGTTGTTACGGGACTCTTGACACCCCTGCGCCCAGCAGGCTCGCGCCTCTTTCGAGCGCTCCGTCCGTGCAATGCCCACGGGGCTAAAGAGCTCAGGCCTCCGCAGAACCCGAAGGCAGGCAGCTAGAAAATATCGAAAAAAACGATCTGGCCTTCGCAGCATCTTGCGGAAGACGTGGCCCCCGGTTTGCCCTCCTGCAGGAAGCGGCATCTTTTACAATTGCGCTGAGATCTTTCCTTTCAAAACAAGACCTGCGCCAGTCACCGCCACTTTCATGGGCTCCGCCTGAGCACCTCTGACTCTCTGCCGGGACTGTCGTGCGCGGTGGGTTGAATGCGAAGTGTGGGGACACAGATCACCCTGCCTAAGCAAAGTGCGAGGATGGCTGCCAGCCACATGCGCGCTTGGCGCATGGCGTCGCTAGCGCAAAGTGATGCAACTCAATGGGTAAATGCAAGCTGCACTCATCATGACAATAACCAGCCGTACTAGTGGAGATCATGCTCCGTAAGCCTTCTAAGTAAGTGTGAATACTGTTCAACATCTTCCGTCGCGCATCCGGCTTCTCTTCCAAATCTTCCAACCGGTGCAGCTTCAGCCAACGGCTTCCGGAGGTCTTTTCCCGTGCTGGCGCAAAGTGTCAGTCAAATGATCACTCCGAGTTCCAAGACTAACTTTGCCCCTCCAGCCACGCCAAATTCAAGTCAAGCTTGCCGAAAAACAGTCACCGGAATCTTGACGCCCTCGTTGATTGTCCCCAACGAAATGCCGACGTCTCGAAAACACAAAAACCGTGAACCTCTCAGCCAGCTGCAGGTCCATGTCGCGGTCGAAGCGCTCGGCCCTTAGCCACCATGTCTATAGCAGAAGGGGCTCCCCTGGGTAAGGACCCATGTGGCAAAAGTTTCTTAATGCACGAGTTCAGACATGCTCTTCTCCGTGCATGTCATCTCTTCAATCTGCGAGCTGCCATGGCACATCACACGATGGCCTTACATATGCTGATCCGAAGTGTTCAGAGCGAAAACATGGTTTCGATGCTTCGGGCAGTCTCTGACAGGTCCTACAACACTTTAGCTTTCAACAACTATGTTTTGCTGAGATTCATTCCGCCGGCAAGCTTGAATTCTGAATGATGAAAGCCCTAAACCCTAAACCTGGAAGCGCCACATTTTGCCACCAGTATAATGTAGAAGGAAGACAGCTTCACCAAGCTTCACCACTTTGAGGTGGCAGCGTTACTGATGGCTCTGCGCCATGGCTCTCTTCCGCACTGTCCTGTGCCAACATGCTTAGCACGTGACGTATTGTATCTCAATGAGGCATCTTGACTCAGCTCCAATACACCTCCCTTGCAGGTTCAGCTCACGATGCGAGTCTTGACGGTCCTCTCCGCTGTCGTGCCCAGAAGCTGTGGTTGCCTCTGCAAAGGGAATTGGCGCCTTGTTGAATGCCACGTGCCTGCTGTGAGTCGTGAGTCCCTCAAATCAGAGTCGTTTGACCATCCACCACCACCACCACCTCTCCCACGATGACGATACTGCCGCCTCTGCTCATTACCACCACGGAGATACTAGAGATGATGGTGTGAAAGAGGCCTGAGCAGCGGGTGGTTGCTCTGTGGCATAGCCGCCTTGTGCGGGCTTTGGCACCTCCAGGCTGAACGGAGGGACAGACACAACAAAAGATTTTGCTACAGCGCGATGCAACAGACTGCAACCTATCACCATAACTAACAGGGGGGTGCTGGTAACCTAGATGCCGCACTAGATAATGTGTGAGAGCAGGCGGTGCAACCTGCAGTATTCTATGTGGACGCACAACTCCCTCGGGATGGAACACTCCTAGATAGAATCCGGACCGATCGCTTCAAAGTTTACAGTAGCAGGTGCTCTGGTCTTATGCTAAACTACACAGTCGAAACCCACTGCACGCCTTTTCCCACACAGCGGCAGCCTGGGATGCTTTCTTGCTACGCCGCCTCTGCGCGCTTCCACCCCGGTCCGAGTCCGCACTTGCGCAGGCGCTCACCGCACGACGAAAGCTCGACCACCTGATCTTTCACAGATCTTTTCCCATGCCATACCATGTTGCCGCCGTGTCACATGCATTGAGGCTACGATCTTCTTTCCACGCGTGCGATCAAGCACGACATCGCTGCTTGTAAAAACCTGGCCTTGGAGGTCTCGAGGCTATCGCGGATCGTGGGGAGGTCGGTGCCTGAGCGTGGGAGGTTGCCAAGTTCGGCGGTCTTTTGAATATCAATATAGCAGCACGCCAAGACACGCCACAATAAGCGCACGCACGCACGCACGCACGCACGCAGGCAGGCACGCAGGCACGCAGGCACGCAGGCACGCAGGCACGCAGGCACGCAGGCACGCAGGCACGCAGGCACGCAGGCACGCAGGCACGCAGGCACGCACGCACGCACGCACGCACGCACGCACGCACGCACGCACGCACACACACACAGACACTTGCAAACTCTCTTGCGAGAGTAGCTAGACAGGGGTTACCATCACTTGGAACACCTAAACAATTCATGACTGCTGCAGGTACGTTTACACGAGCACCGAGTGAGGGTCTTCGTTGGCCCGGACCTCACTCGGGCTCTCCGGGCCCCCTGCTTGTACCCTTTGTTATCAGGGTGTCACACACACAGCTACTCCCCAGTTTTGGGGAGTAGTGGAAACATGTGGAAACATGAAGGTCATCAGATGGTTCGCAGGTCAATGCCGCAGCCCCATCTGATGCCTGCTTGGTTTGGGCTCACCATGACGTTTCGCAGGTCAAAGCCGCAGCCACGACATGGTGCCCTTGAAAAAAGCGTCATCGGGGGTACGGGTCCTGCCCCATTGAGGCTTGGGTCCTGGCCTCTCGTACTGTCGTCAGGGGTAAGGGTCCTGCCCCTTGTTTTGTCGTTATGGCTAGGGTCCTGGCCTTGTTGTGTCGTCAGGGGTACGGGTCCTGCCCCATTGAGGCTTGGGTCCTGGCCTCACGTGCTGTCGTCAGGGGTACGGGTCCTGCCCCTTTTTTTGTTAAGGCTTGGTTCCTGGCCGTATGCCGATACAGAAGTATCGAATCATTCGAGTAATACATGCTTTTATGCTCGGCCTTTGCTTTGCATTAGGGAAGCGGAAAAGAAAAAGGAAAAGACAAAGGCTTTGCAGGAAGGCGGGCGGTTGGCTGTGAAGCCTTAGCGTAACAGCAACGTAAACGAAAAGTAAACGAGCTGCAGCTAGAGGCAGCCTTTTTGGCTTGGAAAAGCCTCTGGCTTCGAGCATTGAAAAAGAAAAGAACTGTGACTGCGAAACGACACATGCGGAAAAAGAAAAGGTAAAGGGTGGCCCACATTGGGCACTTCAAACCCCGTTAGAGGACTGCGCTCGCAGTTCGCAGGTCTTGCAGAATGCCGCAGCCTGCAGCGCATGTCCTATTCATACGGTCAAGCATCCACAGTTCGCAGGTCTTACCGAAATGCCGCAGCCCTGCGGTGCTTGCCGACCGACAGCTGAAATTCTTTGCGCTGGTCGAAGATATACTCACAAAAGTGCCGCATTTTGGCACTTTTGTTTTTTGAGATGATTCGTTTTCGTTAGCATCAATCTTGATGCCTTGTTAATCGCAATATACAGAGGCATGCTGATCCAGGTCCGCTTTGCTTTCCCGGAACTTCTGCATCCCCTGCGGATTTGGTCCCTTTGCTATCAGGGCTGCACACACACACACACACACACACACGCAGCTACTTCCCAATTTGGGGAAGTAGCATGCAATTCGTCGTCTGGGGGTCACCATGACGTTTCGCAGGTCAACGCTGCAGCCACGTCATGGTGCCCTTGAAAAAATGCGTCGTCTGGGGTAAGGGTCCTGCCCCATTGAGGCTTGGGTCCTGGCCTCTTGCAATGCGTCGATCAAGGAATCATTCAAGAAATCATTCAAGAAGTCATTCAAGAAGTCAATCAAGTGGAAAAGAATCAAGAAGTCATTCAATTTATCAGCAGCATTCGAGGATTTGTCGAATCAAGAAGCTGCGAATCAAGAAGCGGCGTTCAATGTCTTGAACAGTTGTATCAAGAAGTCAAGCAGTTGCTACGCCCGGCCCTTTGACAGAATGCCGGTCGAGAACACACTTGCAAACTCTCTTGCGAGAGTAGCTAGACAGGGGTTACCATCACTTGGAACACTTAAACAATTCATGACTGCTGCAGGTACGTTTACACGAGCACCGAGTGAGGGTCTTCGTTGGCCCGGACCTCACTCGGGCTCTCCGGGCCCCCTGCTTGTACCCTTTGTTATCAGGGTGTCACACACACAGCTACTCCCCAGTTTTGGGGAGTAGTGGAAACATGTGGAAACATGAAGGTCATCAGATGGTTCGCAGGTCAATGCCGCAGCCCCATCTGATGCCTGCTTGGTTTGGGCTCACCATGACGTTTCGCAGGTCAAAGCCGCAGCCACGACATGGTGCCCTTGAAAAAAGCGTCATCGGGGGTACGGGTCCTGCCCCATTGAGGCTTGGGTCCTGGCCTCTCGTACTGTCGTCAGGGTTAAGGGTCCTGCCCCTTGTTTTGTCGTTATGGCTAGGGTCCTGGCCTTGTTGTGTCGTCAGGGGTACGGGTCCTGCCCCATTGAGGCTTGGGTCCTGGCCTCACGTGCTGTCGTCAGGGGTACGGGTCCTGCCCCTTTTTTTGTTAAGGCTTGGTTCCTGGCCGTATGCCGATACAGAAGTATCGAATCATTCGAGTAATACATGCTTTTATGCTCGGCCTTTGCTTTGCATTAGGGAAGCGGAAAAGAAAAAGGAAAAGACAAAGGCTTTGCAGGAAGGCGGGCGGTTGGCTGTGAAGCCTTAGCGTAACAGCAACGTAAACGAAAAGTAAACGAGCTGCAGCTGGAGGCAGCCTTTTTGGCTTGGAAAAGCCTCTGGGTTCGAGCATTGAAAAAGAAAAGAACTGTGACTGCGAAACGACACATGCGGAAAAAGAAAAGGTAAAGGGTGGCCCACATTGGGCACTTCAAACCCTGTTAGAGGACTGCGCTCGCAGTTCGCAGGTCTTGCAGAATGCCGCAGCCTGCAGCGCATGTCCTATTCATACGGTCAAGCATCCACACCCACACCCACACCCACACGCACACGCACATGCACACGCACACGCCCACGCCCACGCCCACGCCCACGCGCACGCGCACGCGCACGCGCACGCGCACGCGCACGCGCACGCGCACGCGCACGCACACGCACACGCACACGCACACACACACACACACACACACACACACACACACACACACACACACACACACACACACGCACGCACACACACACACACACACACACACACAATAACCTAACTCTATGACATGTACATACATGTAGCTGATCGTGACTGTGCATCAATGCTGTACTGCTGCTACTGGTGTCTCATCTGTCCAAAACCCATATTTCTAGCTTTGATCGCTTGCCGACTACCCACATGGTGCTGCTTTCGACTTTGCAGCCCTGGCTGCACAGCTGCTTGAGCAACGAGAAGTCTGCGATACTGTCGATGGTCACAAAACCATCTCCATCCGCCAGAGACTGAAGGTGAGTGTCCTGCGAACTGCAGCAGGGCTGTGCTTGTAGCCTCCGGGCTGTTTGGCTTGCCCGACGGCTCGGAACAAGACATTGTTGCCAAAGCTTCTGGCAACCTTCCCATCACATGACCCAATGACGACCAATCGCATCTGCGGCTCCTTTGGCCAGTTCGTGTCGCCGAAGTAATGCTCGACCTCTCCGCCCGTGTTCGGTGGCTTGACATACGTCTGCGTTGAAGCATGCAATACCAATTTATTGGAGAGTACGGAGTGGGATCTTACTGTAAAACCTGTACCCATGCACTGCTGTGCTTATCAAAACAATCTGTTGCGACGAACAGCAGCACTAGTACCGTCAGTAGCGGAGGCACTAGTAGTAGTAGTAGTCGTCGTCGTCGTCGTCGTCGTCTGCGTCGTCGTCGTCGTCAGTAGCAGTAGAAGTAGCAGTAGCAGCAGCAGTAGCAACAGCAGTAGAAGCGCGAACAGTGCGAGCAACGACAGCAGAAAGCAAAGGTAGCGGGGGCAAGAGCAGCCACTGCGACAGCAGCAGCAGCTGAAGAAGTAGGTCGTCGTCGCCGTTCTTGTTCTAGACAAGAAGCCCTTGTCGTAGTAGCGGTAGCGGCAGTGGAAGTAGCCATATATTATATTGTTCGACAAACATGTGCGCCTGTCTTCGGATGGCCTTCTTCAGAGTCCTTGCAACAGCTTCTCTGATACCGGTACTTCGAAAACCAAAGCTTTGAGAACATGTCCGCGAACACACAGGAAAAGAAGGATCTCCTTAGCTTCCGATTCACGAACTCCTCCGTCCGTTGCCCAGGAGGCACCTCCAGGCATGGCCCGGGACAGCAGCAAAGCCATTTCTTTCACATTTATCGAGGCCCCTCCGCCACCTCGAGCTCTCCGAGAAGCGGATGGTTGACCGAGCGGGCCTGCCCAACAAGACCATTTTGTCACTTGCACGAAACAAAGAGCGAGTGGTTGCCGACGACGAACAACGACGAACACGTCTTTCACTTCAACCCGCACGACAGGAGATTGGGGCCCAGATAGTGTCACAATCCACGGTGGCAAGGATGATCGAGTAAGCTTCCAGACCCCTGCTTATCACAACTTGCCCATGATCAGGTTCAGGCTAGGTTGTGTCTACTGTTTCCTTCCTGCACCGGACTGTTCAACAGACTGCAGATGGCCTGCTGCATGTCCTCGTCCTGCGGTTCTTCGCTAGGCTGGCGCGATCGTGCGAGCACCTTCCCCGGCAACCACAGAAACGAAGAACTGTTTCTGGCACTCGCTTGGGCCTGCCGTGCTTCGGCTGCTGCCTGCTTCGAGGTCACCAGTGCGCCCTGTTCAGTGGACGTGCATGCGACCCGGTAAATCAAAAAACTCCAAGCCGAGATTCCGAGACCCAGACCTTGGGCTTCGACTGCTTCGTCTCCTTGCGGGCCTTGCTTGGGGGCGTCGGAACGTCCTCAACGTCCTCGTTCCCTGCGTCCTTGGGCTTCTTGGCCAGCTCGGCAACGGCAGCGGGGGGGACTGGAGGGTATGGGGGCAATTGCTGCGTCTTGGGTGGGGTATCTGCATGCTTGCCAGCCACAGAATCTCTTGAGTCTCGTACCCTGCGTCTTTTCTCCGCGGAGGCCACCGGGGCCGTGGCTGAATCTGGCAGCGCCGCCATTGGCACACTCGACTGTATCGCCGGCCGTTCATCGCTTCCGGCCACAGTGACGCAGACTTCGTCATCGTCTCGCAAGACGTCGGCCAGGCGAAGCGTTGGAAGCAAGGCAAAACCGCCAACCCTCAAGACCAGCGAAGTCACCTTCTGCGGCAGGCGAAGGTGGAGATGCCTCACAAAATCTGCGACCAGCTCCAGGTCTTGTGGCACTCGAAGCAGAAAGCGCAAGCTGCCAGCGGAGGCATCGCATGAGACTCGCACGCGCATAATGGCACTCAGGAGCTTTACGAATGCTTGCTCGTTTTGGGCATGCACGTTATGCTGTGGGTTCAAGCATCAAGCCGCATTCAAGCATGTTCTTATGTCACGGTACTGTGCCAGAAAAGCTTACTGACATTCGCATGGGCACTGGGTGAGGCTTGTGTCGACTGCATGCTGCGAGGCCAGTTGAACTGTAAAAGCTGAAGCCTGGAGTGAGAACTCAGCCGTGCTATGCTCTGCAGTCAAACCTCGTCTTGCTGTGCAACCACACTCTGGCCACGTGTCGCTAAAGTCATCCACTGTAAACAACACATCTCATGTCCCCACATGTCCCCTCCAATGTTGAGCATCTGGGCCTTCCCCGAGGTAGAGCTAGAAGACTTGGCTTTGGCAGCACACCTCAGATCCCAAACACAAGCAAGAGTCCGTCGTGGCTGTGGTCCCAAAGCCTAGGCCCCTCGCAGCAGAGCCATGTCCGCGTTGAGCCGCGCCTCCTTAGGGCTGCTGCGGACCTGATCAAAGCATGTGATGCAATGAGATCATAATGGTCTGGCGCATGCACAACTCTCAGGTCTATCCAGGTTAGCTAAAATTCGCAGGTGATGGTTTCCATGCAGCTGCTGGTGAATCCACCAAGCCACGTTACAAAGGGAACCAGGCCTGGCCATCCGACTCGGAACCGCTGTCGCTGACCTCGGCACCTGATAACTCAAGGACGAGTTGCTTGCTCCTCGTCGCTCGCAATCACGTTTGTATCCATCCACTCCTAAGATCTTGGAGGTATTAGGTAGTAGGCCTAGTCGGCATGAACGGGGCTCGAGGCGAAATGGCCTCAAGCTGGAGAGAAGCCATCGTGGGGACTTATCAAACCCACCGAAAAGGACTTTTGACGGGCCCTGCCTGCAGCACCGCCGCTGCTGATGCGCTCCAGCCTGCCATGATCGCCGCAACAGCGATATCAATTTAAAACAATTGCAGCGAGCTCGAAGGCTTGCTCAGACAAGCGAGAGTCGCTGGCCAGAGAATCTGAACATCAATACCAAACAAGACACAAGTTCTACCCCTTCATAGAAGTGCTGGCTGCCCAGCAGGTTACGAAAGAAACTCTGCTCGTTCGCATGAAACAATTCTGCCTGCATGTTTCGCTGAGAGGCACGCTGCAAGCTCACGAGATTGCACCCAGCTCTCAGGTGCAGACTGCAACGTCAGCGGCCGCACCTTTAGGAGGGCCTGCACAAAAGCACCGGAGCACAGTGGCTACAAGTGGCACACTAAAGTCAGCTATGTGTGCATGGAGTCGTATCACTGTTGTACCCGCTGGCCAAGGGTAGAGTCACCTCATAGCACTGCTTGTAGCCAAGTCGGTGCACACCCCATCTGAAAGCTATGACGAGTCCTATTGGAAACAACAGTGCAGCACATTGATTTTGAGTCCGATGCCCAGGCGATTCAAGAGTTTTCAATTCAAGCACCGATTTTGCATGTGTTTGGGTCGCTGATCCATGTAAACATCATGACAGATCAACACGGAGATGCTCGACTTCACAAGCACCCGCTCAAGATAAATACCAGCGACATATCAATGCGTGGAAATCCGCTGTTCCCTACGTAGGCGCTCGACCGCACAAGCACCCTCTCAAGACAAACATCATCGACATGACAACACATCGAAACCAGTCATTCCCACGTGAGAGGAGGAGAGTTGGCTGTGTGTGTGGCCTGACCGAGCTCCTCCGAAGAAGAACCCTGTTTATGAGCAGATGATAGGCTGCACATGCCAACTTTTGGGTTGCAGCCAGAACCAATCGATCCAAATACGGCACCGCAGTGTGATGCTGTGGATGGTCAACCCATTGATCTTTGGATAAGTGCCAAGTCTTAATCCCAGGGCGGACGCCAACAATCATGAAAACTTAGACTGCTAGACCCCGTCTACATGCAGTGAGAAGCCTAGAGACGAAATCACGAACAGGTGCTGGAACCATCTACAACGACCACCACACAAAAACTTCATGACTATTTGCGAATATTGCTTCATCAACTCGACACTGCTAGGATATGCTGAACCCCATGTTAACGCGGGCTGATACGACTTGACCCGGCAAGATACGACGTAAACTATCCCACTGTAATAAGCAATGCAGGGGCCTTGATCTCTTCCCGGCTTGGCTTCCCAACAGGTGCCTCAGATCTTCCGGATACATACTCTCCCATTGCTATGGTCGGAATCGCCAAGCTGGTGTCCGCTTCTACTGTGCTGGGTGACACGCCCCGTTGATGGCGACGAGTATGTCACCTGCACGCCTCGGACAGAAGGCAGACTCCGAGACCGACCAAGCCTCTGTTGGATTTAGGGCCAGCTGCAATTAGGAGATGTAGCCTTTCTGTAGCTGTGCGCCATAATCCAACTATATTCTCATGCCACTGATATTGACTGACTCGTTTCTGCAGGCCAGAGTGAATTGTCTGAGATGCAGGCACTCCCAATGCAATCGCTGCACCACCTCGTCATTGCAAAAAGTTTTGGCCGGATTACAATACTCTGTGCTGTTTGTTTCTGCAAACAGACTGTGAGTCCTGACCACTGTTGTTCCAATCGGCTGCAGCACCCCACTGGCTTCTGCTACGACAATGACCATCCCCACCGAAACACGTCCCTAGGTCCGCTTTCATCAATCAGACTGGAAATTGCGTATACCGTTCGCTAAGTGGTTCTTTGGACCTCCAGTGTATGACTCACTTCCAGAGGAAGGCTGAAAGCTGACCAAGGAAGCTCTGACTGCTGCACTCTCACAACCTCGCTGTTCAACATCGAACTTAGAGTGCATGCAAAGTCATAAAGCTCAGGCCCCAGCCAGGCTTGACACCCGAGACGTGAGGCCGATCATCCTTTCCAAGCAGCTGTGTTCAAATTGCCGTGGGATCAAAGGAAAGGGAAGCGGACAATCTTACCAGTAGAGCAACGCTCTCAGGGGCACCAAAGGCTTCTTGCCACATGGTTGGCCAGCTGCAGACAACTTTACAACAAAGAGCTTGTCGACACGTGCCAGTAGTTACTGATCACCTGACGGGAAATTCCTGCGAAGAAGCCTGAAGCGGTGCATGAACATGCTTTGACACCTCCTCCAAACCGAGCTCGAAGCCAAGCTTTTTGACCTCTCAAGAGGGCGTGAGGCACTAGCACAACCAGGGTGTTGACAGCATCCCTTACGGTTGCACAACCTCGACTTGGGGAATCAGCGGAAAGCCGTCGTAGAGGCTCCGGGTCTCTTCCAGATTCATTGATGATAGGGCAACCTGCTGCAAGGAGGACCTTCTCGTCGAAAACGACTTCGAAGGCCTGAGACAGAAAAGAATCAGCTGTCCAGGATGCCAAGCTAACTAAAGGCAGGTCCCCAAATGCTGTGGCAAATCTTCAATGCAAGCAAAGATTCGATGCACAGGAAGATGAGCGTGAAACTGTAATCTTGCTGCTGGGAGGGACAAATACAAAACTGCCTGGACTGAGACTGACACCATGGAGGCTCCAGTTCGGCTCAAGGCCAAAGGGGCATGCACCGGCGCGCCATGGAACGAGAGTTGTGAGCTGCGCTAGGAGTATCAAGGGGTTTAAGTCGAAATTGAAGCTGGGGTCCGGGCGATGGCTGGGGGCAAGGCCCAGTTGGCTGGCTTTACGCAGCTAGGCTACGACCGCTCGCTAGGAGTGTACTTACGTGACCTTTTCTGCTTCACAGATTTGTTCCAGGACAGCATGCAGATTCAACAAGGACTGCACATCTCTGCTTCAATTGCCTCCGGGCTGAGTGTTGCAGTGTTGCCCTCTGCTGAGTGGGTCGGTGTTGCTGCCACACATCTTCACATAGCATAGATGCTTGAGGTCACCCCGGCGCATTGGCATTAGCTGAGCTGTCGGGTTCTCGAGGTACTTCGGAGCTAAAGGTCTGGTGAATGTAAGCTACGCGGACGTGGATGTGGCAAAATTGGCAATATGGCAGCAAGGCTCCAGATTGCAAGCGAATCGAGTGGCCGATTGCATCCAAGTGCGCAGTCGCCGTACAGTACTCGTCGAGGCATGACCATTTCCAATATATGTGTGGCGAACTCCGAAGCAATGCACAATCCATCGCAGACCTCGACAGGCCCAGCCATGAGAGCAGCGGCCAGCACAAGCCTCTCCAGGTCAGAATGTGCTTCCCTGCGCCGTTCTTCAGCGCATTTGCGCGACATTGCCGAGGATACTAAACTGTGAAGCTTCAGGGCAAAACTTCTTCGTGCTCTCTTGCATATTATGAGGTGATTAGCAGGTGCAGGAGCTTCCAGCGATACCCTCGCGACGGCGTCGTCCTCAAAGCAACTGAACGAAACATGAAAACGAGTTCTTCACCGGTCTTGCTTTTCCATGAGAAATGTGAGCTCTATACATATCCAAGTACGAAGACTGCTTGTGTGCCACGACTTTGTCTTGAATCTTAAATATTGGATGATGCTCAGGCATGCTACGTGAGCATGCTGGAGCGACGGGAGGTACAGGCCTTGCAAGGTGCAAGCATCTCGCTCGTACAGACCGTAGCATTTGCGCAGAGCGCGGAGCGTTTTGCGCCTGCAGCGGATGTTCGGAAGACTCAAAACCGGTTCCCTGCTGGGCCTCCGGAATATGCTCGTCTGTTCTGGTGACATGAAATCCTGATCCCTGTCGCACCAAAGGCATGCTATGCGCAGTCACGTCCCCCAACTGTCAGCATTGAGGAAGTGTCTGGGTTGCTCACTTAGGCAAGACCTGCGCGCCTCTACGCCCTCATTGCGATGCGCCGAGCAAAGGTGTAGCCATGCTAGAGCATGGTCACTTCTGGGAGCCCGTGCTTGCCGGTGATGAACTCACAAGCTGTGAATGTAGCACACTTGCTGCCTCGTGTGACAACGTTCGCTTCCGTTCGTCGTCGTTGCAGGGATGAAAAGTCCAGTATGGATCAGGAACGGGACCTTTTCTGTGACACATTGAGACAAGCCGATTGACCGAGTCTGTTATCACTGCGGCAACTACCCACCCGCAGCTTCTGTAAGCGATGCAAGGTGCTTTGGGAAGTGCGCTGGATCACATGCTTCTGTTCCGTCATGCCCATGGAAGGATGCGCAGGGCCCAAGCAAGTGATCATGGACAAGCTTCGCTTGCCCGAGGCACATTGAGTTTGAGAGAAACTTTTTCTGAAGCCTTAAACAGTACTCGATATGTTGCCCTTCTGCATGGCGTCCGTCACAAACGCGGCTGCGATAACTTCTAATACATACTCTTCAAGATTCGAAAAAAGACTTCACCCATGACCATCTACACAACGAGCTAGCGTTCCGGCTGCGACCGCATTAGCGGCAGTGTGCTGCATCTAGCACACGTCATGTTGTCCTTGCCGGTCACCGGAACGCTTTCTATCTGGTGGCTGGCGATTCACTCGCCAGTTTCGGCGGGCATGTTTTCCGGACGAGGAGGCAACTCCTCGATTGACCCGAACTCCATGTGAGAAGTCCAGGCTGCAGCTGCTTCCTGCGCTCCCGTCCATGCAACCTGATTCTAACTGTCGCACCGACACGACAGCGCAGGCTGCAAGCTTCCGTGCCATTTGCCGACGCATTGAGTCAGGAAGGTAGGCTGTAACCAGTGTAGCCAGTGTTATGGCAAGTTTACTTCATCTCTTGTGTGCAGGAGCAGGCTACCTTGCGCTACGCCCTTGCACACATCACTCATGACAAACCCGAGCCGCACCTGCCTTGGAAGGCAAAACCAAACTCCGCTGGTCTTGCTCCCGTTTTGGGAAGTTCGACAAGCTTCATTGCAAACAGTGTTAGGGTTGGCATTCTAAGCCGGTTCCTCGCATCAGGTAGCATATCCAGCAGGGCCGGCGTGTTAGTTCTCGGCTCTGAACGTCTAGCTTCCTCAGAGTATGTGGCGGTGCGGTTCTAGCTGGCAAGATGTAGGACTAACCACTACGCCTCAGCATGTCCAGGATATCTTACCGAGATGCATTCGGCCGCGGAAGCGGTGTTCAACATCACATCTGCGTGTACAGGAGCAGTTTATCCTTCGACATGCCATGGCTTGCGATGCGAGTGTTCCAGGAATGCCTCCTCATCCACCCACCACATATTTGCTTATTTGTTTGTTGGCTACATGAAACGTGCTACTGCTGATACTACTGTTTACTTGGCTCTTCGCATCCGTTTCTAACTCTAACAGCTCTGTTGCAGTGCTGCTACACATGCTGTCTGCATATGTATTCATCTTCTGCTGACTGGCAATGGCCGGTACGACTGTTCATGTTGCTGATTGATGCTATCACTACTTAGTTTTGATGGGCCCTGTTACAGCGCTGCCGTTGACTGCAACACTGACGGCTGTGATCGTTGTGGTGACGAAAGCATAACAGGATCATGATAATGATATATAATGATGATGAGGAGGATGAATGAACGCCGTCACTGCCCTGGCCATCATCGTCATGTCGACATCTTCACCGTCATCGCCGTCGTCATGAGAAGCAAAATGCCATCATGGTCTTGGCAACCATCATCATTAACAAAACCATCACCACTGCCATTATCATCACACGACGACTTGCCTTTATCATATGTTCGCCTCCTTTTAATCACCACCTCCTGCATCGTCTTCGGTGCCATAGCGCGCACCCTCGCACTGACAGCTATCGAAACCGACAATATCAACATCATCACCCTTGCAATCATCATCATCATCATCATCATCATCGCCATCATTAAAGCCCACATCGCGAAAGTCATTAACACCTGATTACTCATGTTGATGAACAGCCCTCGCAACACCATCACCATCGACATCATCATCATCATCATCAAACCATGTTGCCCCTCTTGCTACCAGCACAGCATCACCGACGAATCTTGCTGTGCTGTCTTGTAAAACCTCCCATTGTAGTACTCAGAGGCTTTCTGCGACAGTGATCGATTTGTTCACAGGAATGTAGAGCGACTGTGGGGAGGCATGCCCGGGCAAGTCTGGAAGATTCATCTGGCCGCCGCTAGCGTTGTTGTGGGTGACAGGGTATTCGTCACGGCTTAAGCATCTTTCACAAACACTTCAGTATACCCCATCACCCACAGTCTTGTTTTCGCAAATTTCCTGAACTCCACTCAGGAATTTTCAAAATGCTTTTGTCTGTCTTAAACCAGAGCAGACTCCTGACTTGAAGGAGACGTGACAACCCCTGCGAAGGCGCGCGACTCCCCCAAGCATAGCCCCATTGATCTGTACATGCGCACACTCCAAGGCAATTCCATGAGTATCACGCATATGCCAGAAGTGTATCCGAGAAAACGTGAACGCAGCGCTCGCTCCTGTTCTAGGACGTCTGTCCGTACATGCCGGCCTTGGAACATGCATACATGCACAAGTATGTACATGCATGCATGCATACATACCATACATACCATGCGTACATACCAGTACCATGCAGAGTGAGCACACGCGACCTTCGACTCATGTGGCCAAACATGGTTCGAAGTAGCATCTTCACGCCACTGGCGCCACGAAGTTCACCTGGTGACCCTCGGAGTGTGCTGGAAAATCAGGATGGCGCTGAGAGTGTTTCGCTTCTCCAGCTGCTGAACCGATGTTGACCGGGTGCATCGACTGACTGGGAAGCTTTTAGCTGGAGAAGCGCGCTACTGAGGTTCCGCTCAAAGCCTTAATGTACAAGGACACATCCAGTTCTTTGACCGCATCTCACCAAGCCCAAGAATTGCCATAACATAGTACACCACCTGATTGCCTCTACAGGTCCAGAGACGTTGATCATGATCCTGCTTCATCCCATGACATTTCAGGGCTACGGTGGCACAGGGTAGCAACTGGATCTGCCCAGGCCCGGCAAACCACTCCAGCATCATAGCTGGCTCGCGCCGAAGGGGACCCTTAGCCTTAGAGGTTGCAATCTGTCGGAGAAAGTGGCTGAGCTCTGAGAGTGCGGCCCTCGGATCAAATTCGGACTTGCTCGTCCAGGAGTAAAGGATGTACTGAGATCAACAGATTCAGGACAGGCCAGGAGATCCCTTTTCTTGCAGAGAACCAGCAGCTTCTGCGGGGCGAAGCAAGATAGCGAGAGCTCCGAAATCGTCGGGTCTTGGGATCCACGCCAGCTGTAGTTGGTCTCAGAAATTCCCGCTGCGCTGGACTAGGCCCGGTGTGAGCGCCTGCGCGTCCTGGCCAACGGCCGGCTCTCAGGGCCGGGCCAATGTTCTCAACACGAACCAGCCTACAAAAATGAGACTTCAAGCTCCTGGGGCAAACAGCCTTCCTGCACGTCTGTAAGTGGAGCCCCGACAAAGACCGCACAGGTCGACAACTCCAGCGGATGCCTTGCGACCTCTGGCCGTAGGTCGTGATCATGTAAAGAGACATTGACTATTGTGCATTGCAGGTTAGAACTCTTTAATGCAACACACTACTACGGTTTAGCTCCTTCTGCTTCTCTTCCGCAAGCAGGCCAGCAGGCAACTTGCGAATCTGCGGAGGCTTCGGGACCTGGCATGCTTCTGCAGCTCTGATTCTTCCGCTCTTGTCACACAGAGGCCCTGGAAGTCACGGCACTAAAGAGGCGCTCCCCAGACCCGAAAAAGAGTCCGGATACCGATATACTGATATCCCCACATCGGACACCAAGAGAACTTGCACCTACGAGCCCCTACCTTGGACGGCTTCGGGAAGGGAACTTGCTTGCCGTTCTCGAAGAGAGCCGGCTTGAACTCTTCCGGAACGCTCGGATGCATGACCTTCTCAGCTTCAAGTGACGGTTTTTTTTTTAAAAACGTTGACCTTCAGCTGAAAAATTTTGCGCTTGATAAAATGCTTGAACCACTTGGGACAACAGAGCCTCAGAGCCTCAGCCCGGCAGGAGTTACTCGGGGGCCCGGGCCGAGCTGTTTCGATATCTTTCCACGTGGGCTTCCAAGTCCGGCCAGGGCCCGCAAAGGCGCACCTGGCTTGATTCGCGAGTTGATGTCTACAGTCTACGCAGCGCTGGAGAAAAGCCCACAACCCGAGTTACGATGTTTCCGTGCATGAAGTCAATAGAATCAATACACTTCTTCTCGGGCTCTCCTCATCATCGCGCTCGAGTTTCCGTAAGATCTTCAGGGTGAATCATCTTATGACGGGCGTGCGTCCAGACTTGAATGCTGAAGTTACTCCTTTGCATCCGCAAGCTTGGTTGGGAATAAACCTCTTGAGCCAGGGAAGTTGAGAGTCTTGCGACAGCAGCAGAGTAGGGGGTTTTATGGACTGCAAAAAATCATGTCATGCTCAGTGAGCGATCTCTCACACTCCGAGCCAGGTGCGGTCATCCCTCCCGAATCCGCAGCACCTCGCAGACTTTCTTGCTGGGCACCTTCCACTTCTTGAAGCCTCCCGGCAGAAAGGAAGTGCAATGACAGGAATCAGGAACATCCTGTGAGCTTGATCCTGCATCGTCTGATCTGCATCCTACAGGAGCAAAGGACCAGGCACCTGTTAGCTTCTCCTGGATCTGGGGCACGTAGGAGCTGTCCACCAGGTTCACAAAAGCATAGCCCAGGCTGGCCTGCCCAAGTTGAAGTCTCTCTGACTGGCTCAACCTGCCGTTACACGAGCGCTTAGCTCGAGATCTTCTGAGAGCATTCCGATCGGATCGCGCGCACACCACTCGACCGGCAAGAGAGAGCGAGAGAAGGGCACCTGAGTGTGAAAGTCAATGGGCAAGTACCTCAGCTGGCAGTGGAAAGCGCATACAGCCACCCACGGCGTGGTCAAACCTTTGATACCAAGATGAGTCACACAAAGTTGTATTTCGCAGCGAAGCCTTCGGAATCAAGCATCTCCAACAGCTTGGATCGCGTGTAGTTGTTCCTGGGCCAACGGAGAACTAGCGTAAAGATGCTCAAAGCCTGGCTGCCACATGGCACAGGACGCAACTTGCAGCTATGGCACGGCAGATTCCGAAGCATCACCGACGTGCCGCAGTCCGCTGCTGTGGAATTCTCCGTCCACTCCCTGAGCACTGGGAAAGTTGTCGGAATTCCTTCCCACATAGACACAAACAGCAGCCAGGGCCTAACCATACAAGAACTTCCATGAACTTCCCAAACTCTCCAATTCAGTGCCGTTTTGGTGAACCATGCCATCCAAAAACGGTGAGCTCCCAAAGCTCCGAGCCTTCAGCGGACAGCCCCAAAGCCCGCAAGCCCTCTCTCTGCCGGGGCACATCGAACCCTGGGCCGTTTCGCTTCGACCCGGAGACAAAGGCTCCTCGAAAGCACTTGTGCTGCGACTCTTCGGATGCTTGGCCACTGCAGGTGATCTACAGCTTAGAGGAGCCATCGCGCATCAAGCTCCGGACGACACCGGAGAGCTGGCAACCGCCAAAGCTGCTGGAAGAAGCACATGGTACTTGTAGGAAACATCTGCATAAGTTCATCGGAATCGATTGGCTCCTGCACATAGCCGGAAACACCTGGGCACTTCTCTTCAGGCTTACCCTCTGGCCAGAGAGGACACTGCACTTACCTTGAAGGTAGTCTAGAGTCTAGAGTCCCGATGCAGCAGAAGCACTTGCCATTGGCACGTAAGCCACCCAAGGAATCGCATTCACCTTGACAGGCGATGGCCCTGCTTTTCTTGCAGTTTTTCGTTTCTGTTGGGTAGCGTAGGATGGCTTCGGGCTAAATGACCACAGCACTGAACTTGCTCAGCAGGGGCGGTGCTTCTTGCGCAAACCAAGACATCCTGAACGGAACCCTGGCTCCCAAGATCTTTCCTCCTGCTCGTTTCGCTCTGAACGCCGTCACGCCACTTCCTGCATCCCATTGATCTCTGGCACTGGCTCCTCCAGGCAGATCGCTACCTACTCTGCGGACCTGACATGCTGAGAGGGTTTTGCACGACTCTTGGATCTGCCGGGACTCCTTTGCCGTTTCCTAGATTCGAAAGCAAGAAAACAGGTCTGCCCGTCTACCCTGTGTCCTTGCCGGTCACGATCTGATGGCGCAGAAAGTTGTTCTGGTTCATCAGCCTCTCGTGCCCGCAGCAACCACAACTATGCAGAAAAGAATCGTGTTTCCATTCTCAGAATCTACTACGTACGTTGAGCAGAATCCTGAATGAGATGAAAAGCAGCATCCAGGGTTTGCAACTGGAAGCAGCAGAGGACATGCATGCCAGACATTCAGAAAGGCTTAACGTGCAGCAAAGTGGCTGGGACACCTCTTGTGATAAACGATCTAGATCTTCTTTGGACACCGCTTGCTGTCCGATTGCACACTTCGGAACCTGCTCAGGGAGAGCAACCGGACAGACAATGCACTTTGAAGTCCTCGCCTGCAGGTCAGGACCGGGCATGGGCGAGGTGGTCCGGGGCAGTGCTGGGACTCCTGGAAGCAAAGCTCCACTTGCTGGGCTGGCAACGAGCTGACGCGGTCCTTTGGTACCCGGGCTGTCCGGCTCGTCCTGTGCTTCTTGTCGGGAAGGCGGTGCTGGGAATGCATGAGAGTTCTATTCGAGATCGAATCACCCCTGCATACCCCTGCCGAACTGCAATTAGGGCTCGGATCTCGGCGTGTTGAGACAACTGGCTCCCGTCAACTCGATGGACACGTTCAGGTCTCCACGCGAGGCCTGCCCACTCTGCGGCATCTCTGCACTTTACTCTCCCGGAACGCATGTCTCCGGGTTCTCTGAGGTTCGAGAGCAAGAGCCGTGCCTCGTCCTCAGGTGCCTTGGGTGTAGTGGCGTCGAAGAGGCAGCTGTCACTGCACGCCCGAGTTCGGCCGAACGGGAAGTCTAGTGAGTCCTCGTCCTGTAACCGCAGTGCTGCAGAATCAGTGGAAGACTCGCAAGATCTCGCAAGAGTGCTGCTCCTCGAGCTCGATGAAGGTGTTTCGCAAGACCAGGCGTCCCGTAAGCTGACAGCACAGGGAGAGGCAAGGAGCACGGCGAAGAACCACCCGTGACCGCCCGGCCTGAGGCGCAGCCCCGGACGAGACCTCCAGGCCGGCGGTGTCCTCGTGCACATTGCTCCGCATCGGCAAAGGTGTCCGCAGTGCGGAGTGCGCAGCGGCGCCACCCAAAACAAGCGGTCTTGAGCCCAAGGCATCCAAGGCATCTTCCAATTCTCTGCATGATCGCATCCGCACTTTCCAACATCAAGATAGCTTGAGATGTGCTGAAGCCTTCTGACTATTCGGCACCCCTGGGCACTGGCCGACAACTGCTTGAATGGACCAGCGTGTATTGGTGCAGCGATGGCTCTGTGCTTCCAAGTCGTCATGGAGTCGCTGAAGCTTCCGCGAGCCCCATACATATGCGGAAGCTAACGGCTGCTCAGCAGATGCGGTGTTGAAATCTGCTGGGAACCGGCTGGGACGATGCCGACGAGGGCTCTGTTAATACTGCAACAGGGGCGTCGCTGCGTAAGCTGCACCCTGTCTGCCGAAGCACCGAATAATTGAAGAAGGATTGCTGCTATCGAGTCAAAAGCCTCTTTAAAGTGCAATCGGACAAGCGTGCTATGAAGCCCTGTGCTGGGACCAGTATAGGGGTAGAATGTCTGAGCTGCGCCATTTTCTGCGATGCACTGGCACTGGGAGGATCCATGCCCTCCTTCAAACAGAGCGCCACGCCTGAGCAGTGTCGTGGCAGGGTCTGGCATTCTGACATGGCAGAAGTAAGCCGCTCCACGCTTTTAAAGCCCAGCGGAGGGAGCAGAGAAGGGCCTTGCTAGGCACTGAATCCCAGGGTTAGAGTTCCAAGTTTGCTAGGCGCCTTCGTCGGTGTCGAGCAAGAAGTCGAGGGCCCTGTCTGCGTCGTATGCAAACCGGACCAACCTTGGAGCTACCAGTACTTGGGCTTCAAAAAGCTTCCAGGAGCGTGAGCCTTGCGAAGTTGCAGCATGCAGAAACTGAAATCTTGGGGCTGTTCTGCTGGGGCCTCGAGGCTTGAAGACATGTCCGCAGGCCCGTAGGCGACTTAGGCGACTTGAAAACAACACGTCCGCCAGGGACTTCGACATGTCCTGCGACTGCGGAAACGGGGCTCTGGGGCTCCCACGCTTCTACGCACGCCTGACAGGACACCCGAGCTGGCAGCGTCTCTCTGCGACGAGCTGCGCGCAGCTAGGCGCAGCTAGGCGCCGCAAGCTTCCCCACAGTTGCCAGTATACATATTCAGTAGGAAAGCCTGTTCTTTCAGACTGGTGCAGTCAGACTGCCGGTGAGAACAAGTGGCATGTCGACCCGATCTCAGGCCTCCCTGGGCAATGCGTAGGCAGTCAGTTGGGCAACAGCGTCCTCGACGCGCAGGGGGCCAGGCAGAACTTTGTCGAAACTTCTGGCAGTGGCCTACGTGGCACTAGGCCTCCCATGATTCGTACGGTACCTGCCTCCTCCAAGAGTAATGCAGTCGCAGAGGCAGCAGCCTGACAGTCGAAAACTACGAAGATAAATCTCCAGTCCGGGCGAGACTCGTGCACTCCGGCTATAGCAGGCCTCTTCGATCTGTGCAGCACTGGGATCAGACCCAACGATGCGCGGCTCAGGGACCACCTGCGCTTGGGGATTACAAGGTGCACAGACTCGAACTTGCATGCATGACACAAGCATACACAAGCTAGGCAAACGGATCCATCCAGAGTCGGATTCCATTTGCCTGGCTTATGCTCATGGCGAACCCCAGCAAAATCAGTGCACACAATGCGTGATTCCCAGCAGGTCCCAACAGCTGTGCAGGGGGTTCACAACTATACAACAAAAAGCCAAGTCTCAGTTGTCTCCACGAAACAACTCACGCGCTGAATGTGGCTTCCAAGTCTCACCTGGAGGGCTGCAGACGCAGCGCGGGCTTCGTCGGCCAGCCGGGCACAGGAGGCGAGCCGAGCTGATTCCGGCACCTGCAGGCAAGGCTCGAAAGATTTCTGGCTTCAGTCTCGATGCTGTGTCTCTGGGCAAGGTTTGCGCGGATATCTTTAATGGTTTGGCGCGCGGATTTTTGGGCCGGCAGTGCATGCGAATGCGCGCACGGATTTTCAGGGAGATAGAATCGTAAGAAAATCCACGGCAACATCGCGACACCATTCGCGAGACAACCCGGCAGGGCCATGCAAAGAAACTTGCAACAAATTCGTTGCCCGAACAGCCAACCCTAATCTGTCCCACGACCAAAATCCTAGCCACATAGTCGGCATGAAACAATTGCAAGCCAACCTCTGTCATGGCTGCTTTGGCCCATGACGTGCCGCTTCTTGCCTGGAAGCCCAACTCGCCAGACCGCGTGTCAAGCAACCTGCTCGCCGCAAGTGAAGCTTCTGCTGCAGCCCACCCGCACTCGTCTCTTGCTGTTCTGACTTCTTCGGCCAGTCTTGCTTCCGCAGCCAGCCTCGCTTCTTCGGCTCGCCTAGCTTCCTCGACCAGTCTCGCTTCTTCGGCTCGTCTTCTTTCTTCAGCTCGCCTTGCCTGCTCGGCCAGTCGTGCTTCTTCGGCTCGCCTTGCCTCCTCGGCCAGCCGTGCTTCTTCGGCTCGCCTTGCTTCCTCGGCCAGACTCGCTTCTTCGGCTCGTCTTCTTTCTTCAGCTCGCCTTGCTTCTTCGGCCCGTCTTGCTTCCTCGGCCAGCCTCGCTTCTTCTGCTCGCCTTGCTTCCTCGGCCAGTCGTGCTTCTTCAGCTCGCCTTGCTTCCTCGGCCAGTCTCGCTTCTTCGGCCAGCCTCGCTTCTTCGGCTCGCCTTGCTTCCTCGGCCAGTCGTGCTTCTTCGGCTCGCCTTGCTTCCTCGGCCAGTCTCGCTTCTTCGGCCAGCCTCGCTTCTTCGGCTCGCCTTGCTTCCTCGGCCAGTCGTGCTTCTTCGGCTCGCCTTGCTTCCTCGGCCAGTCTTGCTTCTTCAGCTCGCCTTGCCTCCTCGGCCAGTCGTGCTTCTTCGGCTCGCCTTGCTTCCTCGGCCAGTCTCGCTTCTTCGGCCAGCCTCGCTTCTTCGGCTCGCCTTGCTTCCTCGGCCAGTCGTGCTTCTTCGGCTCGCCTTGCTTCCTCGGCCAGTCTCGCTTCTTCGGCCAGTCGTGCTTCTTCTGCTCGCCTTGCTTCCTCGGCCAGTCGTGCTTCTTCGGCTCGCCTTGCTTCCTCGGCCAGTCTCGCTTCTTCGGCCAGTCGTGCTTCTTCGGCTCGCCTTGCTTCCTCGGCCAGTCTCGCTTCTTCAGCCAGTCGTGCTTCTTCGGCTCGCCTTGCTTCCGCGGCCAGTCGCGCTTCTTCGGCTCGCCTTGCTTCCTCGGCCAGTCTCGCTTCTTCGGCCAGTCGTGCTTCTTCGGCTCGCCTTGCTTCCTCGGCCAGTCGTGCTTCTTCGGCTCGCCTTGCTTCCTCGGCCAGTCTCGCTTCTTCGGCCAGCCTTGCTTCCTGCTTTAGTCTCGCGTCTTCGGCTCGCCTAGCTTTCTCTGCCAGTCTCGCTTCTCCGGCTTCCTCCCCTGCTGCTGCAGTTTCTGCAGCCACCCTCGTTGCAGCAGCTTGTCCTGCATCCGATCGGCACTCCTCCTCCACAACTTTGACCTTTGTTGCAACTCAAGTCGTCTTCACGTGTCTTAACGCAAATTTGCTATGTGGAAACTGGTTTTGCATCTCGTATTTACATGCCAGCTTGGCCGTCTGAAACAGCACAGATCTCGACTCTGCGCAACACTACCACTACCATCAGCACCTATGACTCTTGCACCAGACGTTCTTCTGTGGAGCATGGCCTCCTCTCGGACACGGTGGCTGCTGCTGCTCTTCGATGGGCTTCGGTCATCTTCAACACCAAGAAGCCGGGCACCTGGACGCCAGATAACACGTCACAAGAGAACGTGGTTCAGGCAAGACCGCCCAAGTCCGTCTAAGGTCTGGAAATGCTTGTTTCTTCGTGGTCGCGGTGCCCTTTGCATGTGAGGATAGGCTGACAACGGTGTTCAAAGTCACTTGGCCGAGCCTTCATCGGTGTCCAGCAGGAACTCGAGCGCAGTTTCCACATCCTGATGCCGCTCCAAAGCCGCCTGCGGCAGCTGGATAAAAACACGGAGTCTCTCTCAAGAGCTACAACTGGCCGTCTCTGCACGATACAGAACCCGCAGCATGAACACAAATCGTATCCAAATGCCCTCGAAGTGTCTCCAACCGCTGAGACAGAAAAGCAAACAATGATATTGCCTGACAGGCTGAGAGGGGCAGATCATAGGCCATCCTGGGCCCAGAGGATATGAGGCACGAACCACTATACCACGACATATCAAATAGTTCAGATAATAAGAGCGTCGAAGCTGGTCAGCTGTTGCTTTGGATCTGCATAACATCCAAGCCAGAAATCCGCTTGACTCCATGTGTTGTGTTGCGATGTCCCCTGATCCGACAGACAGAAACTTCCTTTGTGTAGCCCGGGCCACAGCAAAGCGACCAGGTCTGCATGTGTGGCCGGGATGACCTGGGAGTGTGGCGTGCCAAGGGTCTCAAGGCTGTGCCCGTGCAGCAGCAGCATCTCACAATCACAACGGTGCTCATGCGGCATGCTAACCTAAACTTCGAGCTACAAGTAGCATCTCAATGCACCCTGAGCGTCTGCGGCTAAGCGAGACTAGCGGCAGCTCCCCGTCTTGGAGTATCGGTGCTGGCGCTGTAGAAAGAGCCTGGGCGAAAGCAGCTAACCTGCCTTGACAGATTCCTCACATCTGGACATCGAATTCCTTGGAATCATTCTGTCGCAATGCATCGCGTGCAGTCCCTGACACACTCGATCAGGCTGAGAGATCAGTTACCCCATGTTACCCCCGCCTGTATCTTGGAGGTTGGAGTCTGTCGGGGCAAAGCCCGCAACCTGATTTTGTCACGGATCTGACTATTTGCGACTTCCGTTCTGCTCTGCTGTGCAATCTGCTTGGGGTGTTGTCCTGAATATGAGGACTGGGTGCGATTGCGAGACACTACCTGCAACAGCCCCTGCAGCGCGGCAATGCCCCGGAGACAGCTGCAGCTGTTTTCTGGGAAATCATCAGGGGGGCGACTGCACAACGAAGCATTCTGCCGAGCGTCCCTCTCAACTTCCGCATCAGCATCCGAGCCACCTGTCAAGCCCCAAGTAGTAGGCAGTGCCACAGAGACACAGACAGAGACACAGACGCGGAGTCTCAGTGAGCTCGGAGCTGGCGCTCGTGCTCGTGGTGCCGGGCAGCTCCGTGGAGTCCTCGGACTCCATGGCCGGAGCCTCCAATGCCAGGGATCCTACTCTACAAACCTAGGACCTCTACAGCATGCACAGCCTACTCTGCAGTTTACACTTGTGGCCTCGTGTGCTGGGATGGATGATGAATCCTTGCCCAAATCGGTAGCATCGTCCGTTGGCTCCTGAGGACCATGGAGGCTCTGTGCGAAACTAGGGAGAGGGTTGTAAGAAGGAAGCTCGTTCCTACGTGCATCGTCAAGCTTTTCACCGAGTTCCCACAGGCGAAGGCAGACCGTTGCTCCTCAGCTCCAGGTTCGGGATGACCAGCAGCAGGCTCTGGCGCGACTTCAGTGGGGAGTGACTCCTGCAATCGCGCACCCACGTGCATGGGGAATGCAGAGTCTTCGAAGACGTTTGGGACCTCTTGGCTCTTGTCGCTGGCTGCGTCGAGGTCAAGAAGCCGCTCCCGCAGCCAGGCTCCAATCTGACCAAGTCAGATGATCGCATGGATCTGCCGCATCTGCTTTGTAGTGGAGCTTCTGCACTGAATAACAGTAATGGCTTAGTTTGTTTGCTACTTTCCGCATGCGCAGTCTACCCCAAGAACCTCGGAAGCCATCTCGTCTGAGATGGTGTGCCCGACGCCTCCATGGTTGTGGCTGCAGGTTGTGGGAATTTCACATAATTTCACAAGAAAGCTCGCAAGTCACACTGCAACCGAGGTCTTGAAGGGGCTTCCACTCATCGAGTGCTTCCCACCTGCATGGCATCGGAATTCGACATCGCAGCCTTGCCGGCGCAGCCAGTCTGCCGATTCTCGTGCCAACGCCTCCGAAACCATGCCTTAGGAAAAATATTGTGATGCTGCGCCGCCACTGCGGTCTGCGTCTTCAAACAGTTCGCGCAGGAGGGTTCTGGATTTCAGATATATGGCTTCGTAGTGTCGCTGTACACTTACCGTCCGATAGGTCGAACGGGATGATCGTGGACGGACAGCGTGCATATACTGCAGACCTTTGCAACCGTGCAACGATCTTCTTGCCCGTGGCATTGAAGTGTTGCGAGGCCTGGCACGTTGAGGATCCGATACCAAGTCGTAGTAAAACGTTACCTACGCCGACTTAAGCAGTTGCCGTAAACTTGGCCTATGCACGCATTCCCGTACCCTTGCTGCCCTCGCTGCACCTGTGGTGCTCAGCCCTTGCGCCGCCGGTGCTCCCAGGGGCGCCAGACCAGCAGAGCCGAGCAAGGCCAAACCGCCTTTCCCAGGGGCCAAAAAAAAAACGCTCAGAGAAAGGGAAACCTCGCGCAACAATCGCGATCGCGGAGGCCGCTTCTTGCTCCAACACCCGAAGTCGGAAAGACGCCCTCCGGCGGGCCCTCCCGCGGGCCTAGCCGCCATGGAGCACGCAGCGCAGCGAAGGCGCTGAGGGCACCGCCCGCAGAGAAACCAACCAGGACCAGACGCTGAGCAGGGATGCCAGAGATGCTCGCCTCCTCGGTGAAGTTTCCAAGCTACAGACCGTCCCTGCAACTGTAGAGGGCCATGGCATGCATCTTAAAAATTAGGCAAACGTCCACCACTTGCTAGCGTGCAAGATGCAGCCACGTTTCCATCTCAAGGATGTTGATGAGCTCCTTGGTGCTCGCCTCATTGGGCCCTTCTCTTCCTACCTTACATGCTCGGCCTGCAAGCCTTGCCAGCAACAGTCCGTGGAATGTGATTCGGCAATACGCCACCATACGCTGTCTGGGCTACAGAGTGTTGAGAGGCTACAAGTACGGAAAAAGCTTCCCTTTACAGATCGCACCATCGAACAGGGTCGCGAGAGCAAGTCTTGTCAGCTGAACTGTGTTTGCTGTACCTTTGCCGAATCTCTGCTGGCCTCCAGTTGCTCTGGCAGCTGACCTGGCCAAACTTTAGAAGTGCTGGCTTCATCAGCTGTGGGAAGGAAACGCATCAAACGTGCACTCCCTTGCCTCCAGAAAGATGTGTGCAAGGACGGCCATTCACTGCAGAACTCTGAAAGCCTCGCGCTTTGGATTCACTGCCCAGCCTTGCAAAGACTTGGTGGTGTCGAACCATGCAGGGCCAAAGCCGAACAGTGAAGGCCTCGCAGGAACTTGCGAGGACTTTACAGCTCTGAGTTTTCAAAAGATGATCAATCAAGACTTTGGAACTTGGCAACAGTCACTCATCCTATGACAACCACACCACAACATGGCTCGCGAGGACCTCCTGACTACTGCACATTCGTCGATTCTGCCGGCAGAGGCGAAGACTGCCAAAGGAAAAGTGTGCTCGACGGGTTTGAATCCCAGCCCAAACAAATCCTTCAGTTCCAAGCCGCATGGAAGGTGCAGTGGGAGCCACGAAGCGGGCGAAGGGAAGGCCTCGACGGTACGGGTGCGGCTCAAAAACTCGATCTCTGCTTAGCGGTGTGTACATGGATCCTTCAGAGGGCGGTGCTTTTGGACGAGGCAGTGCTTTCTTTGGAGAGATTTGAAGAGGATGTACGGAAGCGAAGTCTAAGGTCCAAGCCCTTCGAAAGGCCGCGTGCCAGTCGCTCGAGCATGGGGCCTGACTGTAGGAGGCCATGAAGCAAGACCACCTTGGAAACCAGCTGCGATGTTAGAATCACTTTCTTTTCTGACTTCATATTCGCAGGCTTGGGCAATCTGTTCTGCATGTCCGAGGGGCTGTTGCCGTCGGCTTCTCCCATAAAGGATTGAGAACCAGAACTGGCCGCAAAGGCTCGGACACCAAGATCGTGACCTCAGTGCGAAGAATGGTCGACCAGCTGTTTTGTCGGCTCCGAGGCTCAGCGGCCTCGTGGTCTGCCGTGGCCTCCCTCTCCCGGCGCCGGGGCGCAGCGGCGCCGCGGCTGCCGCGGAAGTGGAGTCCACCGAGACCCAGGCGGTTTCGCACCTCCGTGTCAGGCGTTGTAAGCAATCTGTAAACGTATAGTTTGCAGCTTGCGGGGGGACCCGCGGTTGCTACACCCACGGTGCTCAACGCGTCGTGCAAGTGAGCGCAATGCTCTCAGCCCTGTCCCGGCCTGAGCAGCTGCGCCAGGGTCCAAGGGCAACGGCAGCGAGACTAGAATCTTCTCGCGCTGCTCCAAGGAAAGGCCTCTCGATGTCGGTATAGGAGGCAGAGCATGCTGAGTGCAGTTGAATCAAGCTGCAAGCTGCACGTTGGGAACAGACGGAAAGGTGTTCAGCTCCCGTGGTTGGAATTCAAGCGAGGGTTTTTCGGTAGACCAGTCGCACGGCCTTTGCGCGAAAAAAGCTCGAAGAGCTTCTGCACAGGGGGGCTCAGCCTGAGTGTGCTGCCGGACAGCTGCTGAATGTCACAGCTCTACAGAAGTCGAGTGACATTCCATGACTTGATATTCACACTCACCGCTTCGCAGCCGAAAGCGGCCCTTGGCCCGTGGCTGGCCATCCGCCTCTCGGCACACGCTGGGCGGCGCCCGCCGCGAAGGCTCGGCACCGTGGCCCAGCAGCAGTGAGACGACCTCATAATTCAGCCAGTGATTTCAGCTCAAGGTTCCGTCGTGCATGCTGCACAGACTTGCCGTGATCGGGTGGTTAACCCGAGAAGTTGGTGATGGACAGAGAAGGATCGAAGCATCAATTGACCCGACTGCTGCCTGAATCTGCAGCAACATCAAGGACATGGGCCGAGCAGACAAGCCACTTGATCCATTGGGACGTCTGAGATTCAAGCTACTTGTACCCTCATAAAGCTGCTGCACGACTTATTGTCGCTGTACTTGCTGCGTTGGTCAAGCAACCTACCGTCAACAGGATCCAGGGCCGAGGCGTCAAGATCACCCTGGGCCGCTGCCTGAGTCGAAGAGCATCCGACAGAGAGCCAAAAGATTCCCTAGAACATGTTGGCATTTGCTGGCCTGAAGGAGCGGTGTTTCACCCGCAGCATCAGCGCGGTTGGGGTCCGCCTTGTCACGCAGGAGAGCCTGCACCTCTGGCAACTGGAGGCTGGTCTTGTGGCGCGCTTCTTTGGGACGCTCAGATGATCGGATCACGAGGCAGGGGTAATGCCGCGAAAGCCTGCTCCACTGCTGATTGCTCAGATGGCCCTTTCAGCACAGTTCGAAAGTCCTAAACCAAACCACCTTGTGAAATCTCGGCCCGTTTGATTCTGCGTGATTCTACGACTCTTAGAGCGAAGCTCCTTTCGTCCGAAGTCTGAAGGCGGAGGGCTCAACGGCGCCTGGAAGAGGTCGCGCCGGCGGCAGGCGCGTGCTAAGAGAGATTCCTCCACGTTCGTGGAGTCTAGACTCGGAGAGACCATTGCCCCGAAAGGAACGCAAGGAACTTTCACGAAAATTCTAAGGCTGAGTTTGGGTCTGGGTGCATCAAATATACGTGCTTTTTCACTGTCTATATTCGGTTGCTCCTCAGCTCAAAGACACGATCATCGCCGGAGCCGTGTGGTGCAAGGCTACTGTGTTCAGTATGCTCTTTCTGTCAATGACTTTCTCTTGGATCCCTAAGCGCATGAAGCCACCGTCCGCATGCCAAGCTCTTTGACTCTGCCACACTCCGACGAGCTGATGGGAGCCACGGAGGGTCACCATCCGTTGTGCTGTATCTTGCGGTGAGCAATTGGACGAGGTGCAGAGGCCGCTACCTAGTGGGACTGTCTAGGGTTCTACCGCTCCAGATTCAAGCACCGTGTATTCTGTCCGTGTTAAACTGTTACACGAGCTGGTGAAGAACAAGAAAGAGCCCAGCAAGCCCTGTGGCTTCTAAAGCGCCAGCAAGGCTCCATCTCATTTTTCGAAGCCCTCCGCGTCTATGTACAAACTCGCATCCCACTGTGCTCGGGGCCAAAGCACACCCTTGGGACAACAAGACCTGACCGAGGCGCGCTGCAACCCAATCGGACAGACGAATGGTCGCACTGACCTTTCAAGCTGAATTGGGGCCTGAGACAGCCCGCCCCTGAAACGCTCGCAATGCCAAGATGTGCTGCGGCAGTTGTGGAACATCCAATTTCGAGGGACAAGGGTCAATGACACTGTCTACTTGCCCAGGGGCTCTTCATCCGTGATAGAGGTTCCTGCCATGTGATCAGTCTTCAAATCCCCGTGCGTCGGTTTTAAGGGCTTCTGGAGCAGCACATCTCTTGTTGTCCATTTGTTGAGTAGCTCTGCATCCTCCAGCAGGAGTCTCGTTGAAACTGGAGTCGGCGCCCTCACGGCCTGCCCAAGGTTACAACTCGGACAACGACGAGCTGAGCCAACTTCATCTAGCTTCAAAAACTGAGGTCGGGGAGTCGGGGGCAGGTGGCCTAAAAGGCTTTTTTTTCACGACTCCCTCCGACTGTGTCCCTGTGCCTCTTCGGCCTTAGGATGTCACTTTGCCCAGGCCCTCAAAGACGGCTGGCGGCTGCACCCTCGGCCGTGGATACGGGTATCGCACCACATGAAATGAGAAAAGCCTGCTTAACATTCCCGGTACTCCCACATGCCACACCGTAAGCCTTGAATTTCTTTTGAAACCTGCACACGTGCGACGACGTGATTCTAGACATCAACAACACGGAACCTCGTAAAGCAACGGCTTCGGGGATGCTGACACTTTTCGTTTGATAAGCTCGTGTGCACATTGGCACTTTCCGCTGTTTCTGCAGGTAATCCGCTTTGGGGTTCTGACCTTCCTGTGCGGTGCTTGCTGCTGTAGCTTTTCTGGCATGAGAAGGGAAGATCCTAGACATGACCAGAACAACTTCAGACACGGAGGGTGGGTATGTGGTGAGCTGCAAATCATGAGGGAGACATGGGACCAAATGACGGAAGTCCGAGTAGAGATCGAACAGCACCTGAACTGCTTTTCCTCTCGGTCTACAAGCTACAAATTAAGTTTGACAGTGAAATACAGTGAAGCATGTTCCAAAACTCTCTCAACGATCAAGAAGCCCGTGTCTGTCGAATCACTGGCGTCTTACCGCTGCTGACTTGCATCTATAACTCTCCAAAACCAAGTCGAGCTGTCCGCGCAGGATTTCTTTGGCTTCTGAGGTGTCGGCAGGCTAAACCAGCCATAGAACGCCGCCAAACATGCAAAGAGCAGGAGATTTAGCCAATTGAGGACCTTGCGCACTCCGCTCCATTCCACACACTTTCTTACGACCAGCCGCGAGATGGCATACATGAGGCTCCTGAGGTGCGAACATGCCAAGTCGAGTCGGTGAGCTGTGCACGCAGTAAGGCCAGCGTTGTCAGGCCAAATACAACCTGGCACAGGTATCGAAAAGTCCGTCGGCATCTTCTGCACCATGTGCTTCTAACTTGCGCACATCTCAGGACGAAGCCCAGAACTATCAGGTGCCGAGCCTCCCTAAGAGACCTGAATTCCTGGAGCTCTTCTCTGGTTCTCTCGTCATCAGCACCCGTCACCGCAACGACGCTGTGATGTGAGAGCCCAAACTTGCTCAAATTGCTGGCTTCTGCAGAACTATTGTTGGTGCCACGGCCGTTCGGTTACTCCGACATGACTGGGGATTGCACCCCTCCCACATTTCGGCTGGCAACCCGCAGCACCAACCGACCGGGTCCCAGAAATACGTGCAGGAGAGGGCGGCATAAGCTCTGACGGCGGCAAGGCGCACGCGGCCTGAGAATTGCTTTGCTCGGCCCCAATCTCAAGTCTCAACGCACCTGGCTGTCCCTTTCGGCTGGGAGCTTCGCATGTTATAAAAAGGAACATCGCAGACACGGCTTAACCCGGGCTCGGGTACCCAGCCGTCATCGGTCTGCTTTGCAGCCCATGTCAAGAAGGATTGGCCCAAGATCAAGGCCTCAGTGTGATTGCAGAGTGGTACTGTGAGGAAACGCAGATGGCGAGCAGCGAGCGCATGGGGCGCAGACACCATACAGCCGAATGACGACATGAGTGATCTTCACCTTCCAGGTGATCTGAGAGTGAAGTGGACACAGGTGTACGGACACAGGTGTACGCGGTTGCTCCACCCAGCAGTCTTATTCACAAGAATGCACGACAGGGCCAGTCCTGAATGCTAGATTAGGCCTGGCCATCATCCGGGTTCCACCGGAAAGTGCCATGCCACCTTGGGCGTGCAAGTACAAGAGCTGGTGCATGCTTCCACCCTGTCTTCTGGGGTCTGCAGGGTCATAACTATGCTGTGCTTCACGCATGGGCCTCTGGCTCCTCCCCAAGGAAGAAGCCGAACAAATGAGGCAGCATGAACCTGCCAGCATCTTGGGCAGTTTTCCGGCATTTCACTGGTGTGATGCAGCCAGCACTTGAAGTGTGGTTCGAGGCAAGACTATAATTTATAATGTGCCTTACAGTTGCGCCGCACAGCAGGTCTCATGATCCCATTCTTCTTCCAAGGCTTGCGGTAGACGATGCACGGAAAGAATTCGCGGCTTGCATGATTGTCCCCGGCTGATCCCGAGTTCCGAGATTCCGGCGCGGAACCACCAAATCCAACTGCTACAGCACAATGTACCGTCAGCAGTAAGTTGAGACCTCAGGCGAGCTCAGAAAGCTCATGCAACTATGATTCGACTATGATACCTGAAGCGAAATGTTGATAAGCTAACAAAACAAGATTGTTATGTCTGCCAGAATGACTGACAGCCTTTTGGGAATTCAGCTGCGTCAGTCGGGTCTGGGGTAGCAGACCTCACACAGATATAACGAAGCAAGGCTGCCTCTTTGAGTCATGGTCTCGCCGATGCAGCTCGAAAACTGCTCAAGCCTGAAAACCGTATGCCTTCCACCCACGAAACGAAAATTGGAACGGGAAGGGTGAAACATTGAAGCTGGCAGCCCTTCAGTTGGCGAAAACCTCGTTGATGTCGATGGCCCTGCCCTTGCCTGCGCTGCTAGCCCCACACGAGATCAAGTCGTGACAGGCTTAATAGACTAAGCTCTCGTACTTGTTCTGGATCTTGGTTGATGCAGCTCGCGAATTCATGGATACACTGTGGCCATAAGTGAACAATTAATCGAAGGGTATCGTAACTACTGCTACTGCAACTTCCACTACCACTACCACTACTATTACTCCTGCTACTACTACTACGACGACGACTACTAGTACTACTGGTACCACCACTAATACTACTACCGCCACCGCCACCGCCACCGCTGCTACTGCTGCTACTTCTACTGCTACTGCTGCTGCCCCTGCCCTGCTGCTCCTCCTGCGACTGCCACTACCACTGCGACGAAGACGACGGCCAGTACTCTACCACTCCTTACTACAGCTACTACAACTTCGTCGTCTTTCGTTTTTCGTCAGGGCAAGAATTACCATCGTCATTACGGGAAATTTTGCTACGCAAAAGAATCACACAAAGACCCTCGAAGCTCAAGTAGGGAAACGACCCTGCGCACAGTTTTTCTTGGAGAGCTAGTTAATTCACCTTGCAGAGTGCGGTAAGATTCCTAAAGCTGCAGCGCCGGTGGAGCTGTCGGTTGGCGACGACTCAGCCAGAACAAGCGGGCCCAAACCAGAGGATCATTCTGAGGAGCATAACTACGATGTCGGGAAGAAACGCGCTACATGAAAGCCGGGCACACAGTAGCTCACAATGGAGGTCGAAACTGGTAGCTTAGAGGCCTTTGCATCATGAACTCCAAGAATTCGGACACCAAGATACAAGGGGTATCAAACGCAGTCCTTTCAAGGCTTTCAAGGTCCCCAAAGCGCATGGCATTGCTCTGGGTACACAGGCCATACTTTATGCCGGCAACTTGTTGTTGCTACCGCTGCTACTGATACTGTTATCAACAACTTCGCCGTTCCTGTTGTCATACTTAGGAGGTGCACTACTTCTTCTTCTCTCAAGCCTCGATCAAGAATGCCACCCACTTCCCACAGCCTATTGTGCCACTGGCACCGGCCGCACGCAGCTTGCTCACGACATCGGGATGACCATTCCTAGGAAAGCTCTACTCAACTCCGTTTCTTTTTCAACTTCAGTGTTCAGCTCTCACTGTACACTGTAGCTACTAGAGTTACAAGAGGCGCTGTGAGTGCCTGCCTGAGTGACAACTTCCAGCCCAGGCTCTGCTTTGCGATTTTGACTGCTGTCACACCGTTCTTGTCCACCTCAGCTGCGACTCAGAATCACCAGAATCACGGCAAAGGCTCCGGCAAGAAGCTGCATGGAGGATGCATTCAGCCATAAGTGGTTGGCATTGGATGCCACTGAGGCAGCCTGCTAACATGATTGTGATCCGGTGGCGTGGGTGCAGGTGGGTACATACCCGAACCTCAACCTCTTCCTAGAAGGCCAAGAGGCATTGTTGGGATCTGCTCTGGCCTGGCAGAAACAGACTGGGGTGACCGTCATTCGGCACAAGCGGTTTCGGATAGGCACAGGAATCGTCGTTCCCTGCTGCAGTCAAGCCTTCAGCATCACATCCACGATGGCGCTGTGCCCTGACATGGCCCCGAACATGAGGGCCGTACATCCATCCTGACAGGGAAGGCTTGCTCGACTGATGGGCAGTTACGTTGGCACGTTTCTCACACGCTTGCAGGATAGCTGCTGTTGGAACCGACTTCGCAGCAAAATCCTACAAAGCTTTCGTGAAAAATGTCGGTTATGCCGGCCCACATCATGCATCCCTCCCGAAACATTGGTCTCTTTCGTAGTTTCGGGCAGGCCATAGCACTGCTCCATCTTGCTATGTCTGTTTCGTCCGATCATGCGAAGCAGAGCCTCGCGGGCAAGCTCCAAAGTAGCGTTCGCTTGAAGGAGCTCTTGTATGACTCCACCCTGCAGGCAAGACAACATGACATGATTTCGGCAAGCAAACGGTTCAGTTCAACGACGGGGAATGCGATAATTGAACAAGCGATTGCCAGCAGCATGCTTCAAAACAAAGCTCTCCTTGCCACCCTGTGCTGCGACCATCAGCGGCGAGGCACCATCCTCTCATGGCGGCACTTTACAGCTCAAACGGTCACAAGCACTGGCTTCTGAAATTGCTCATTGATTCTGAGCCCGTGCAAAGTGGTGGACACCGTGGCTGCAGGCAGCAGCTCACATCAATAACCGAAGTAAACCCTGCAAATCCTAGGTGTCTTGCAAGGCGGGGCCTCGCGCTGCGTGTCCACGTCCGCCTCCAGGGCAAGCAGAAGCGCTGCGGCCTCTGACTGGCCGCACCTCTGCCGCCGGTGATTGAGACTGCATGGGGCATGGGGCTTCCCGCATTCCCTCCCTTCTCTCTTCTTTCCCCATTCCTTGGTGTCTTCTGGTGGCCTGGCTGCTTCGAAGAGGGCTGTGCCGCCTGCTGCAAAGCAGAAACCGGCTGCAGAAACAGTGGAATGTAGCTAATAACGCATGTTAGTCCATGTCTCACCAGCCTTTCTTGTCGCGAAGCTCAATATCGGCGCCAGCTTCGATTAGCTCAGCCATGACATCACCTGATACAAACTATCTCTCTGCTTTTCAGCGTGTGCTGAAGGCCCTTCGCGTAAGGAGCGGTTGAAACCTACTAACCTCCCGTGAACACCGGCTCTCCGCATCCCTGCTGCCTCCTATGCCCCTCCGATGCCGCCGTGATGCTGTGACCCGCACGTGCTGCGAGCATGAGAGGTGTAAGCAGTGCGTCCGTGGTACAGTCCACATCCGCATCAGCCTGTAACGATTGCTGGTCTCTTGCTCCAGGCAGCCTACGCCACAAGGCCTACCCAACCTGAGGAGTGAAGAGCCTTGCAAGAGTCAGCTTCTCAGCACGGTGCAGCACTGCCTTCTCTTCCCAGGTCAAACCGATATTCTGGAAGAACTCCGACAATGGCATGCCGGAGCTGAAACTGCTCCGCGACTTCCGAGGATCTATTCCAGTGCCCATGGTGACATCATTCCACGATCTTTTCTCTCAGGGCCTCTAGAAGATCCAGCACAATGTCCACTAGCCCGAACATGGCCGCGCGGTGCAGAGGCGTGACCTGAGCTTAAGCCACGAGTATCCTAGTAGCCACAACTTGACAAGGAATGGTTTCTTGGAGAACCCGCTGCCATCCTGATCCCTGCAGGAAAAATAGAAAGGAGTCAGGGTTCAGGGGTTAGGGTGCTTCGACTTGGCCAGCTTGCCAGGTGGTTCTCCTTCATAGAATGCCACCACATCAGGACCTCCAGCATGCACCAGTCCTAGGTCCTAGCAAAGGCCCCAACACAGCTGCCAGTAGTTACATGGAACCGTACAAGCAAGAACCGTGTGGTCTGACGGACACAAGTATGGAGAAAGCTTTGACTCCAAGAACTTCCAGTTATGTTGGCAAAGCCTTTCAGAGCGACTGGCTTGCTGCATGTTTCAAGTGACGATAAATTACCTCAGAATGAATACTCGGCCGCAGTGACACCAGTGACGTCCGCAGCATCCACGGCTGCGCCCGCAGAAAGCAGCTCGGCCACCACTTCCGTCTTGTTGCCTGCTGCCACCCCGATCTCGAGCTTTGCCCGCTCTTTCTGACTCCGTCACTCTAGTACGATCGCCACGACTACGATTGTCACGAATTCTGCGTTTTACACCTGCCCGGCAAAACTACAGCATCCCGCCCTCTCCAACCCCAGATTTTTGAAAGCGAGCTCCTTCCGCAGCAGCAGCCAGCGGTGTCGCACCAGAGGCAGTTGCAGCCTCAAATGCTTTATATGGCCAAGGCGCGGTTACAGATTCAGAAGCCAGTAGACTCTCAATTGCCAGTATTTGGTGCTACGGGTCTCGAGATTCTGGAGGCCCTTCGCCTACCTGAAGAGCTTGATGCGCCGGATTGGCACACTGGGTGGGGTCAACGCGATGCAGGCTGATCAAAAGCAAGCAAGTAACCAAGCACGTGCCAGCTTTTTCTCTTTCGGCGACTACCAGTTAAGCAGCTGGTCTTGCACTTCCCGACTGTTGCCACCGGTTTCAGGATTACCCCAGGTCACGACCAGTCCATTCTCCAGTTGTGCCGCGAAGGCACTCTCCGTCGAGTGAATCACGTGAACCCTTACAAGCTGCGCCTTCACTGGACTGCAGTCACCACCGAAATCGCTATCGCCCCATGTAACTACAGACCCATCCTCTGTGATAGCAGCAAATGCTCGCTTTGTTGCTTGGATGGCGCGGACATTCTTCAGCTCCTGCTGGACAGACTTGCTGTCACCGGCATATCTAGGGTCACCCCAGGTCACCACAGAACCGTCGTGTCGCACTGCAGCATAAGCTCCCCTTGTGGCGTAGATTTCACGCACATTCTTGAGTTCCGGCTGTACAAGCTCGCTGTTTGCTGCAAGAACCTGCGCACCACCCCAAGTCACCACGGATCCGTCTTCGAGAAGAGCTGCCATAGCAGATCCATCTATGGCACAGAGAGGTCGGATTGTTTCAACATTCCTCAGCTTGCCTTGCACGGAGCTGCTGTTGCCACCGTCTTCTTCAGCGCCCCAGGTCACAACACTTCCGTCCATCAGGACGGCAGCAAAAGCGCCACTGGAGCAGTAGATGTCTCTTACATCTCGTAAGTGCCTTTCAACAGAGTGACAGTCACCCCCACAGTCCCTATGGCCCCAGGTTACAACCTTGCCATTGGCAAGGATGGCCGCGAAGGCCCCTAATGTCCATCGGAGAGTCTGCACATGCTTCAACCTGTTCTGCACGGCGGAGCTGTCCCCGCCCCGGATTGCATTGCCCCAGGTGATCGCATTTCCATTCTCGAGCAGAGCGACAAAAGCGCAGCCGTTTGTATGGACCTGCTGCACATTTCTCAGCATGCCCTGAATACGACTGGTGTCTCCCCCTGCGGATTCCTTACCCCAGGTGACGACTGAGCCATCCATACGAAGAGCACAGAATGCTCCAGCTGAGGCAATCACTTGTTTCACCCTCCCACGCAGCTCTGTCTCCACATGCGAGCAATCACCTCCACATTCGGTCCGTCCCCAGGCCACAACATTACCGTTGTGGAGCAAGCCAACAAAGGCTGAAACACCGGCCACGATTTCCCGCAGGCGCCCGCGAACTGCGAGCCGGTCATTTCCAGCAAACCTGCCCCAAGTCACAAGCGTTCCGTCTCCCAAAATGGCACCGAAGCCTTCTTGGCTCGCAAAGAGACGGGGAGGGCTCGTCTTCAACGTAAGCACCTCTCCATCTTTCAAGTCGGCACCGTGAACGGTCGTGTCTACGTCGAGAATGATATGGCCCCTTATTAAGGTGCCTCTTCTCACATTCAGCTTGCGCTGTGCTTGGCGCTTCAACTCGTCAATGGAGGTGCTGCTGGCAACCTCAATCACTTCGCTGCGTCCGCTGATCAGGCAAACTGTGACTGAGACCGGTCCTTCGGCCACAGCCACGGCTGGCATGTCAATATGGCAGTTAACATCAAGAAACTCGCGACAACGAGCACGGTCCAATAAAACGGAGTACCCGCCAATGCCCAGGCCAAGTCTTTCCATCATCTCATCAGATCTGGATTAGCAGGGCCAGGTCTCAAGTTATTTGCTGTCGGCTATTTTACACTGATGCGTATGCGTGAGAAGACTAAAGTTTAAAGGGATGCCACAGCAACTGCCACTACAATGACAGGCCCGATACTCGAAAGAGTGTCAATACATGCTAGTCTGGTGAGGAAGACCGGCTGTCTTTCTTTTTGTAGCTGCACGAGCCATCTGCAGGCAGCAAACACAACAGGCACTTGCGAGCGAACGGTCCAGTCTCAAAAGCTATGAGAACACGCGTAGTGCCAGAACCTTCCAAAGACCAGCCATGACGCAGGCATTCTGTCCGGACGAAGTGCAAGGTGCAGAGCCTACACGTAGCATCTCGGCGCCTCCACGTTGGCTCCGGCTGCCAAGAGCACTCGCAGCGGTGCTACACCACCAGCAAAGGCCGCAGCAATCAGCGCCGTCGCCTGACCCACAGGGCCGGAGACCGAGTGTCTCGTTACGTTACCATGTACGGTGTAGGGTACCCACATACATTTATCACCTTGCTGGAATCCTAAAGCGCAAGTACGACTTGAAATTACATGTGCTGCAGTCCGCAGGTGTCCGACGAATAAGGCCGCACAAACACGTCTCAAACAGAATCTGGGATCGGCCAGGGTACGTTTTGCTGGTTGACAGCATTCACATCAGCGCCCGCTTCCAGCCTGAAGAATCTTTCAAGCCATCTGGAACGCGCACAGACACAAGGTCTGGATGTATCATCTGTTCACATGCGGCAGTCTGTGTCCGAGACAGTCTGCTGACGGCCACCGCAAGGAGCTAAGCAGGTGAAAAAAGGGAGGCCGTTTGAAACGATCAGCAGCCAGCAGCCCTCAAAGCTTGCTCGATCCATGAACGCGAAGTGGCTAAGCCGGAAATCCGAAGCTCCTAGACGAGGAGATGCTGACCATGTGACTATGTCACCCTGACGTGTCTAGTTAGTCTAGTTTGCTTCAGCAACTCCAGACCTAGTCTCCTAGATATCTCTACAACCAATCCTGCGGTTTCTGCATCTCAGCCGAGCGACAGGTGCTCCATCACTTTGACGTGCCCCTGCCCTGCGGCAGCAATCCTGGAGCTCGATAGATGCCCCTGCCCTGGAACTGCGACAGAGCAGACAAACTCCAGCCATCTTGCAATGGTGAGGATGAGGATTTATCCAAAACCTGACATTAGTTGTATCTGTCACAGTCATACAGACACGAGAACAAGCTTCCGGTAATCTGAAGAATGTCTATTGTGTGTCACAAAACGCAGAAACCATCACAGAACCAGTAACCGAGAGACCGTAAGGGTGGGGACGAACAAATCAAACTATTGACCGCACGCAAAGTCAACATCACAACAAACGTCAGTTGTCATACAGGAGAGAAAAACAGAGATCAGTAGTCGAGTAGCAGTGACCGGAGGCGCAGTAGTGGAGGATGACGAGAGGAGGAGGAGAAGCAGCAGCCGCAGTGCAGCAGCAACAGCAGCAGTAGTGGTCGCCATCGTAACAGGACTTGTTGTACCAATGAAAAAGTTATAGGATACGAGGACCGGCTGCAAGACTAACTAGTAGCAGCAGCAAGAGGAGTGCTGCTTGTAGCCGTACTTGCCTATCTTGCACTTTTGCAGCAACCGTCTGGTCGTTCGACCAGCTGCAGCATCACACGCCTACCCTGATCACTGGACAATATCCCAATGCCAGGCCGCAGTGGACGTTGGCCATTGCTGTCCACAGCATCTGGCGCTGTGCCAGAACGCAGGAGATCAGCCACCTGTGTCTTGATGTTAACTGCTGCGAATGCTGCTGTTACTATCATACGACGAAGTTTAAGGCAATCATGATACTCGAAGGAGGTGAATGCGATTCTGGCCTGTTCGGCGTTGCCTGCACCCGCAGCAGCAACGAGGTCGCCCGTGGCCCGCAGTGCTACCTGGGGTGAATGAACCATCTGCTTCAGAGACTCCGGGAGTCCTATAGAGGGCGCGGGAAGGGTATGGAGTGCGGCAGCCAGGATGTGACGGCTCTCACGAAATCACGCCCACCTTCCAGGCACGTCCGAGGTGAGACCCTGGAGAAGTAGCGAAACCTCGGCTAGGCTGAGAGAGCTTTCTAATTGCATTGCCCCAGAGTTTGAGACTAGTAGCAACATGTAGCAGTCGTAGATGGTTCTTGCGGTAGAAGAAATTACCGCCAAGTCTTTCTGTTTGCCAGAATGGGCTCTCTGTTGGAAGTGCTGGGCGGCAAGGCTGCAGCTAAGGAGATTCCGCACGTGTTTTAGGGCGCGTCGGGGGGTAGGGTTTAGGGTTTAGGGTGTACGTACGTACATGAATGCTTAGAATAGGGTTCCTTTAAAGGGGTCTAGAAGGGCTACGCAAGCCAAGGAGGAATTCCACACGATGTTCATCCAGGCGGGCACTGGCATGCGGCAAGCCAAGGACAAGGGGGAACGCCTTCGGGATCCCTCCTGTCAGGTTCCACGCTGCTTCCCCCTCCACTTATCAGTATTGAAGATTATTATATTATTGTATATAGATGATACTCTACATATTTCTGTAATATAGGTTCTTTGCCATGATTCAATATTCAGAACCAGTCTGCGGCTCACGAAGGCTGCAGCCCACAGCGGAGCCGCCAGCAGAAAGACCAAGCCACGGCGGCGTGCCATGGGAGAATCTATATAGGTTCTGCCTACCAACACCATGCAAGTGCGACTGTTCTTGCGATTATAGTAGAGTATATTATATATAGAGAAAGAGAGAGGGAGACTACTATCATTTGTATATATATATATAGATATAGATATAGACTCTCCGAATGTAACTATTGTCATGTTGTCATGTTGAGTCAAAGCGCCCGCCCCCGCTTCCTCGTTGCTTTCGGATGGATGTGTGGACTTGGTCAAACTTGTCGGAGGGGTCTGCCGAAACCAGACATAGGTGCGATGCAAGTGCCATCTGCAGGCGACCGCTTGGTGAATTTAACTACTTCGGGGCATGATGATGCTTCCAGAGACTTGCAGGCTGTCGATGCCTCTGCCGCTGCAGGAAGGCTGTCGGCTGGAGTACAAAAAGGAAAGCAAAGCTTCGTGCAAGACTCCTGCACAGTGTCAGACTCCCATGGCGAAGCCAAGGGCTCTCGGCAGACCAAGGCCACCACGCTGTTTTTGTGTGCTTGTCGAGGCGTGCATTGTCTTCGCCTGCAAACTATCTCTGCACGAAAAAGGTCTTCTGAGCTCACAGAGAAAACCGGCAGCCTTGAAACTGTCAGGCCGGACAGTCACGAGCCCCGTGCCCTCTCGGCTGAAGCCATCGGCTGCAAAAGTTACAGGCTTCGAAGTGCACGCATTTCCGGGGTCTCCTTCTACGTCCAAAACTGCAGGCTCGCGATGCTGAGCAACTCTCTACCGCAGCACTGCCTTCTCTGATGAGGGTAAAACCCAGTCCCCGAAATCCCGGAGCAGATGGCCTTTGTCGATGACTTGGCAGCACTGCCAACTGAAATCTAGCACAGGCCTCCGGCCTCCGGCCCTTCGGACAGGAGGATCGTGCAGGAGCTGTACCACTCCACAACACTGCACTCTAGGAACTCTGGGCTAAAGGCCCCAAACCACGCAAACACCTGTACGTGACCCGATGTCACATAGAGCCGCCCTTGCCGGCTTTCCCCCGGTGCAGCGCCACAGCAGCAGAGACGCCCATGGCTAAGGCAGCCCCGAGGAGTAGCCAATACCTGCAGTTGGCAGCGATATCCCAAAGCGCCAACAAAAGGGAAATACAACTCTACATGCGGTCTGTCTATTCGATCTAGTCCCATCTAAGCTAACCTTACAAACTCATCTCCTGAGTATATGACGAATCCAAAAGAATCCTCATCAAGCCATCCATACACAGTCATCAACCCGTCCATCTTTGTGCGGTCTCCTCCTATGTATGCGTATGCATCTACGGAAACACATTAAATAAGTATACTCACACACACTTTGTCTCACTCCCCAGCTATCTATCTATCTATCTCTCTCTCTCTCTCTCTCTTTCTCTCTCTCTCTCTCTCTCGCTCTGCCGAGCACTCTCTCATACACAGGCGAACAAACAAACGCACATGGGCGTTGCTCAATATCCCTTCTTCTGGAAATATTTTCCGCAAGGATTTTTCTTTCGGCTTCACTAATCAACCGTCAGCAGCAGTCAGTCAAAAGTCAGGGGACAGGAGTCAGTGGTAGTAGTAGTAGTAGTAGTAGTAGTAGTACTAGTAGTAGTAGTAGTAGTAGTAGTAGTCGTAGTAGTAGTAGTAGTAGTAGTAGTAGTAGTAGTAGTAGTAGTAGTAGTAGTAGTAGTAGTAGTAGTAGTAGTAGTAGTAGTAGTAGTAGTAGTAGTAGTAGTGTCGTAGTAGTAGTAGTAGTAGTAGTAGTAGTAGTAGTAGTAGTAGTAGTAGTAGTCGTAGTAGTAGTAGTAGTAGTAGTAGTAGTAGTCGTAGTAGTAGTAGTAGTAGTAGTCGTCGTAGTAGTAGAGGTAGTCGTAGTAGTAGTAGTAGTAGTAGTAGTAGTAGTAGTAGTAGTAGTAGTAGTAGTAGTGGTAGTAGTAGTAGTAGTAGCAGCAGCAGCAATAGCAGGCGTAGTAGTAGTTGTAGTTGTAGTAGTAGTTGTTGTTGTTGTAGTTGTAGCTGTAGTGGTAGTTGTTGTTGTTGTCGTCAGCATGCCCCCTTACCAACTACGCTTGCTCTACAGCTTCTTGACAGCACATCCACTTTACTCGGTATTTACAACACTTGCCTGTCGTTCTCTCAGCTTCCTTCTCACAAGCTTAGCCTGCTCCTCCTACCCTTCCTGCGCCACAGGATTACTAAGCACCACAAGTCCAACAAGTCCACGATCGATATCGGGCCATGATTTCGGATCTGGGGTTATGTAAGGCTAAGGGTTATTGGCTTATTGTTCATTTCTGTTGGGATGATGATGATGACGATGACGACGGGGACGCAATCCTTCTTGAAGGCAACTGGCAGCTGCATCTGTGCTTCTTCTTGCAACCCGCTCAAGCCTCGAACCCCGGCTTTGGGTGCACTGCAATAACGGGCTTGGGGCTTCTACACCTGCAGAATCATCGCATGTTTTGTACAGGTCTGGTAGGTCCCAAGTCTGTTGCGTGAAAGCTTTCGCGCATTCTTGCCTTCTTTTCGCTGGACTATTATTGCGAATCCTGCGCGGACACATTGCTTTTATGTGGCTTTACATCTTAATACCCGGTTATCCGAAGACAAGGACCTTTCAATCAGTGCTCACATACACACACTAGAAATTTGGACCTACGGGGTAGACAGATGTATCAGTGTTCGATCTGACATGCTTAAGGCTGGCTGAAGGGCAGGGAGGTTGAGAGCCAAGCCACAAGGTCCTGTCCCTCTGCCGCTCCTGGGTCATCTGGCGGCGGCCTGCCAAAGGGTTTAGGGCCTAGGGTAGGATTCCGCTTTAAAACGCTTCCGAAGCGAACGGCAGTGCCCAAACCATGCGCCGAGGGTTCGGCACTCCTCAATGAATGCAACCACCTGCGCTTTGGTCTCCTGGCAACAGTCAAGTGCAAGCCTTTAGGCTTTGTTTCGACAGCCCATGGTTGCGACTAATTGACACTCTGCATGCGCTGTGTTGATGCGTGGTCTGAGGCGGGGGTTAATGTGCCAACACGTACTGGGAAGTCCTTCCAGGTGCTTTGTCGTGAGCAGACTTGCCAAACCAACCCCGAAGGTTGAAGGTTTGCAGCTATTGAAGCCATGTTTCACCAACAGTTGGACTGCAGCTTGGCCTCTACACAATCGAAAAATCGAAAACCTTGCAAGAAATGATGATGACGATGGAGGTGGGGATAATGCCGACAGATACGAAGGTGATATCGACTGTTGCGGCTGTTGGCAGGAGACGTCAGGAGCCTGAGAGCCGTGAAATGCCGTGAAGAACACGCGAAACGAGCTCAAGGTGAACTCTGAACATCTCCATTGCACAGAAAACCCTCATCTCCTCGAGTGTGAGCCCAGTATCCACGATGCGGTCTGCTCGTATTCGCTTCTCGACGTCAGGGACCTTGGGAGCAAATCCCTCGATGCAGAATCCCGACACACCGAGTCATACGCATGACTTGCCCGGCATAACGGCATAAACACGGAAACTCCGGCATTCCAAAGTTGATGAGTGCTGATGAAAACAAGCGCACTCATGCGCTCTCTATGTAACCGGGAACTCGCAGCAGCTGTTTCGGCAATTATACTAAAACTGGCATCAGCATTATGTACAAGTAGCTAGTGGTATAAGCAGCACTAACAGCAGTAGCAAGAAGCAGCAGAGGTGGCGGCAGTGGTGCTTGTGGTGGTAGTAGTTTTTGCAGTGCCTTTTTTGGAGGCAGTGGTAGTTGTAGTCGCAGTAGCAGTAGTATTAGTCGTCGTCGTAGTCGTGGTAGTCGTGTTAGTCGCAGTAGTGGAAGTAGTTGTCGTAGTAGTTGTAGTACTCGTAGCACTCGCAGTAGTCGTAGTACGGTGTGCCGGGGAACGAGGGACGATTTTCGACCAAGATTGTACGGCCAATCTCTTGCAACCTTGGTTTTGCAAGATTGGCGCGCAAGCTCGCCAAAAACCCACTGGACCATTTGCATCACTTGACCACTCGCACCGCTTGGGGTGGGGGGGGGGGAGGCAATCTTGGCAATTTTGCCCATCTTGCCTTGCACCACTACTTTGGTCCAAACACAGGCCCTCGTTTCCCGGCACAACTGTGTGCTGGAGCTGGTGCCGGCGCCTGGTGCCGGTGCTGGTGCCAGTGCTGGTGCTAGCAGTAGCTGTGGCAGTAGCAGTAGCAGCAGCAGTAGCAGCAGTAGCGGCAGGAGCAGCAGCAGCAGCAGTAGCAGTAGTCGCAGTAGTAGCAGTATTAGCGGTGGTAGTAGTAGTAGCAGTAGTAGTAGTAGTAGTAGTAGTAGTAGTGGTAGTGGTAGTGATAATGGTAGCAGTAGCAGTAGTAGTAGTAGTAGTAGCAGTAGTAGTAGCAGTAGTAGTAGCAGTAGCAGTAGCAGTAGCAGTAGCAGTAGCAGTAGCATTTTTCATTCCCCACGCTGCATGACATCCGAGTCTGCTTAGCGAGCTAGCATCACACCTTTGATGTGATGGATCCTCAATTGGGATCTGTGATGGGTCCGGGTGACCAGCATCACACTACCGTTCCAGTCACTCAGAATAGCATCGTCTTCAGCACAATCCTGGCTCATAGCGAAGCCAGATCACATAAGCTGCAGTTCGCTGCGTGTCTTGATCATCGGATGTGCAACTGCGCGCAACCCGACCGTCATCTGTGTGCCAGCTTTTGTTCACTCCATAGAAAGGCTGGCCATTCAGCACAGCTCGGTAGTGCCCCTCAGTAGGTGCATCCCCAAAATGCAAAGCCATCGCCACGACCTGATACGGTGCTTGAATGCATGCCAGTTCATTGCGGAGTTCGACACTTTCAGCACGAAAGACAGGCACGTGCACAGCAGACAGGTGGCCTTTTAGAGGCCGCAGGTCTCGCTGCATTACCCCCGCCTCGTTGTGAAAGCGCAGTAGTTGCAGACACAAATAGGGCGCAGCTGCGGTTAGGGCATGTATGCAGGATTGCTTGTGCCATGCATCCACGCACCACTGCAGATGGCATGTATCATCTGTGCAGAGAGGAATGGGTATGGGAAGATAGGCAGGTCCTCGGTCTAGCACGCTGAGTTGACCATCCCTAAATCTTCTCGCCTCCCAGCTTGGAGCCTCATGGTCAGCAGACCAGCTGAGACACCTGGGCAGAAGGTAGCCGAGGAACTCGCATATGTCATGCTGTCGGTGGAGCTGTGGCCACTGCCCAAGCAGCATCCTCCAAGGCAAAAGGCGAGCTACCTGAATGGAGGAGGTAGATTGCATGGAGGCAGAGACAAGGGTGTCAAAGCACTTGTGGAGTGCCGGACTGTGATTGCCGTGTCGCCGCAGTTGCAAGATCGTCCAAAGGAGAGTGTATATGGTAGTGTGCATGTAGCAGTGATTGTGAGGATTGTGGAAATGCAGTCGCAGAACCTGACTAAGACTGAGGTCACGGCCCTGGGTCAAAGTCCCTGGCGTACTTGGTCCACCAGGGTGTTGAATTGCGGCCGCTCTTTCCGCAATCTGCATCCTAGCAGGTGCCACGCCGATTGACCGATCCATTTCTGGAGGGTGGACCAGACAGGGTCGCCCAGCGGCCTCAACGAGATCTCCATGCGGAACTGGATCCATTCCGATGTGGGCTGATCCGTCATCCTCTTGTAGCTCCGAAAGCGATGCAACGCCTCCTCGCGCACGCCCTTCCGCATTTCCACGGTCTGTTTGAGCAAGTCGTCCGTGCTCGCTGCCGGCTGGCTCTCGTCCACTTGCAGCTCCGTCTTGACTGGGTCCCATTTGAGAATTCGCCAGTTGCCGCGATCGTCCACCCAGTTGAGCTTTTTGGCCTTCTCCATTTCGGATGAGTTTTTGGCTACTGCAGCCAGGCGACCATGCAGCTCTATCATTAGCTGTTTGAACATCGCGATCTTCAGAGAGTACGTCAGGGTGCACGGCGTCTTCTCCTTCTCGGCTCGCCACTTCTCTGCCGTTTGGTGGAGCAGAGACACAATGCTGCCCTGGCCGGTCTTGACAAAGAGGTACAGGGTGACATCCTGTCTCAGGGAGGCAATTGTCTGCTCCTGTTGCAGCACGAGACGGGTGAGATTCTGCAGGTGTTGCTGGTAGTAGTACTCGGTCTCCCCGATGTAGTGATGGTTGGCCGGTGTTGCGACCTGGGTGGGCCACGGATTGTCCCACTGATCGGAACCATTTGTGTAGTCCCAGGTCGGAGTAGCAGTAGCAGTAGCAGTAGCAGTAGCAGGAGCAGTAGCAGTAGCAGTAGTAGTAGCAGTAGTAGTAGCAGTAGCAGTAGCAGTAGCAGTAGCAGCAGCAGTAGCAGTAACAGTAGTAGTACTAGTAGTGTAGTAGTTCTAGCTAGTAGTTGTAGTTGTAGTAGTAGTAGTGGTAGCAGCAGTAGTAGTAGCTTTGTACATTCGGTGACAGAATTATGCAAATGACATGCGGCATCATCTGTTTCGGTGCCTGCTTGGCCAAGATCGCCGTAAATTTGTCAGGGTCCATCTCTTTTCGAGCCAGAACTCGGGCACGCCTGCGTCGGCCGGCATGTGCTCAGGAAGCGAATGCTGCAGGATCTTGGATGACCGGCGTGAGGCCAAATCGTGCACTTGGTGAAAAAAGGACGAGGGACAAACCCTGCAACAGTTAGGTCCCCGGCTGCTGCTCAGCCGGCGCGCTGACGACGACAACCAAGTCACAGTGTTGCTCCTCACCCACAAGAAACGAAGCGTCGAACCGAGCTGACAACCTTGAGCTGAACACCTGAAATCCGTCAGACCTGTACGTCCCGGACTCAATAAGAGCAGAGAACTGCATCTCGAAGCATCATGTCTCTTCTCCCTGCGTCTCTGAAGCCAACTCCCACCATCACCTCTATCTCGTGTCAATCCCGATTCAATACATCCCACTGGCACTGTCCAGATGCTTCTCGAAGAGCAGCGGGATATCGAGGATGCACAGCGGCTGAGAAGCAGAAGAAGAAGTGCAACGGTGTCGAAACTAATTTGTAAAGTTGTAAAGCTTCATGCAAGACAGGGGATGTGTGCAGGTTAGCGACTGGCCTAAGCATGATTCATTAACCAGGTCACAACAGCTGCCTCGGACCGTCGGATCGCTTCGGCGATGAAATCGTCACGTGCTGCCTCCACGAGTGGATGGACGATTGCCTGGCAGAGGAATTGAGGTCGGGCTCATCCTCGAACCATCCTGCCGTCCCTGAAACCGCAAGCACAACGGGCAACTGGAGGTTTGGAACTGGTTGTCCATCCAGGCTCTTTCCGTTTGTGTATCTCACCGCAGAGATATACACAAGTTAGATCGCGGACTTCGTCAGCGGCGACCAACCCCCTGTATGCTTAATTGTGGCAAATCTCGCTGCAGGGGCCGTTTCAAGCTACGTCGGAACGAGAACGAAAGCTCAACATTCTGGCACAAAGCCATGAGCCCTTTGGCTCATAACCTAACATGCACAACGAACCTAAGCACGTTGCAAGGTAAGCACGAGCACTAGTACTCAAGCAGCACATATGCGAGGCATGGCCATAACGACAACAGCAATGCAGAATGGATGGCTTGATCATTATACTGTCTTACCAGAGACTTACAAGAAGAAGAACAATAACAAGAGTAATATGAATGAGAATAAGAACAAGAACAAAAATCACAACGGTCAAAACAACAGCAACAGTTGAAAGAAGAAAGACACTTGCCATCGCACAGCCGAACTTAAGTCGTGGCCTGGGGAGTAGTCAGGGGATGTTCGGGGTTGCGCTACAAAGGCAAGAGTACTGGCAGCCTGGCAAGTAGTAGATTTGATTGGAGGGACCCTAGCACAGCCGAGCAAAGGCCAGGAGCCACAGCTGGGAAACCGAGAGACCCTGTACAACATTCTCCTAGCGCATGTGTGTCCGTAGTGTGAAGTCATGGTCCTGTGTTTGGGCACATCACCAACTCCGGGGACTTAGCAGCGCTACAACGCAACTCTGAGGGTTGGCTCTTAAGGTTTAAAGCCCTCTGTGGAGACCTCGAGTTCCTGCAGCTTCTGCTTGTTCTCCTTTGGCCGGGTCTCGCAGGGAGCTTAGGAACTTCTGAAGGACCGAAAGGTTGAAGCTCTTAGGCATCTCGGGGACCCTGTTCTGCTTTGGAATCTGCGAGTCTTGCATGGCGCATGTTTCGGCTCGCTCACCACGCCTCCGTGCAACCCTTGAGCCCCCCACATCGAACTGAAAGAAAGTCTGCTGTGTCATCCCCTCGCCCCCTTACATGGCATGTCCTCTCCAACCACCAGCTTGGAAAGGAACTTCCGGTCGATGCTGCCATCCTGGCACCATCGTCTCTAGACCCTGGGGTCAAGGTTGCACAGGCCAGCATGCCAGCCTCGGCCAAGACGCCATCTCCGAAAGCCTCTCAAGTAGCTACATGCAAGTACATCAGCGTAGTTCTGTTCATAGCTTATAATACCTCAAGCTGGAGCTCGAATAAGAGCACTATGCGCGACGCCTCTGCAGCTGGGGATTAGCATCACAGCTACAGCTACTGATTCGTGTTCTGGCCTCTCGGATGGGCTGGACAGCCTCACCAGCTGGCCTAGGCAAGTAAGGCTCTCCTTCTACTGGGGCTCTAGCCTAAGTGCAAACGAACCTGTAGCGTTCCGGTTTATGACTCTATGACTTGGAGTCCGGCGCGTACAGTCGATGGACTGTGGCGTCGGCGTCATCCACGGGTATGTTCATCTCCTTGCTGAAACGAGCTCAAGCCACATGCTCTTTGTGTTGAAATCTTCTCCGAATCTTGAAGGGATCTCGTGTCTCGGGAGATGTTGCGTCATAAGATACGGTTCGCTCCCGAAGCCACTTCGACACCGTGCTCTTGCCCATGCCAATGCTGCCGGTGAGGCCTCGGACAGCATCCAAGGGCTTGGGCTAACCGGCGAAGCGGTGCAACAGAGATTAAACAAGCTGCACCTGAGCTTCCTTGTGCAGAAAAGGTTGGATCAGTGTTCCGACTTCACAAGCTGCCTGATTCTCCGGCAGCACAAGCCTTAATTTAAAGAATGTTCAAGAACGTTGATGGAATCGGTTCAACAGGAATGAGCTGCTGTAGCTTCTAGACAGCCATGTCACATGCAGCGCATGAGTTCGCAATCTCAGCAAACCTGTACAAGCCTTTGCCGATCAAGATGTCGAAATATCGCATACAGCATCGGATTTATTCACGAAACTGATAGTGGAGGGTTATTGATCAAGAGCCGGTCCGAGATCTTGAAGAAACCATGGTAGAATTTCAAGACTAAGGTGAGGGTCCGTGGCCCTTTACAGTTCATCACTCCTCAAGCCCCCCAACCGAACCGCCCGGCCCAGGAAGTGGGTTATGGCACCCACGTGAATATTGTGATAGACGTGGGTGTTCTGGACATGGGAACCAAGAGGTCGCGGCGGCTGCAGGATGTCCAACAGGGACCCCTCATGGACGAAAGATCTGGAAGGTCGGGCGCTAGGAAATTTTCTCATCAGCCTACAGACAGGTCGCCTGAAGCCTACATCTCGAGGCTTTGAACCTCTATACAACTGCGAGCTCCCGGATTTCGAGAGGTCGCGTTCGAGACGAACTTCAAGCAAGACATGGGCAAAAAAGCCCGAGAGGAGAACTCGGCCGAGCAACAACCCATCTACCCCAGGCGGGGGACGATCCGTTGCTTGACCAGGGACATCGCTCCTGTGGCTGATCATCTTGGTCAGCCACAAGCTGCTTTGAGCCATGCCTAGCCTTTCTGAGGCATAGGCACCCCGCGCGCCCCCTACTTCAAGCGCAGCAGTGTGCCCAAGCTGGAATGCAAGAGACTATGCTCTAGACTCCAGACTGCAGCAGGGGATTGACCTTGCTCTTGCCTCAGAAAGCTCAGCAAGTGCTGGAAGGTTAGCCAGGTAAGCTATAGTAACGTATGATAAGCTGTACAACAGAAGTTGTGGAGCTCCTCCGTCGGAGGCAGCCAGACCAGAAGCAGGGCGAAGAAACATGAAGACAGAACGGAGATGAAGAGAGACGCTTCCAAGATCCTCCGCTCCCGGCGTGGCCTCTCGAGGTGGGAGCTCCGACCAAGACTGCCTGTGACTCTTTGTGGCCAGACGGCCATGACGGCCCGGCCTCTAAAGTCTAAAGCATGCAGGGACGGACTCCTGGGGAAACTCAGAGCTCCTGTGGCCCGAGCTTCCCTCCGGAATCCGGAGACTCAAAGAATTCGATGTGGGCCGTCACTCTGCTTCAGCCAGCGCTTGATCGTGGCCTCGGCGTCTTTGCGGAATCTCAAGCCCCAAAACTGACCGTAGCAGATCCATCCTGTGGACTGAGGCACCCACAGCCAACAGCATAAAACATCATGCCCTGGGCGATGTGTTGAGGGGATGAGCTGTGGATTCGACGACACCCGGCAGACGGCAAGGATCGAGCGAACCCTCGAAAGAAAAAGGTGACACCTGAAAAAGCTCTGTGCGGCGAGTACATTGCCCACGTCTGGGCACTACCCTGAAATACTCTTTGGGCCACCAAGAAGCTGAAGAACAGCAATCTGTCAGTGTCATATGATTGAGCCCAGCAGCCGGATGGACTGCACAGGCATCGGCCAGGCACCTTAGCAGAGCTGTGCAGACAAAGACTTTCTGGACGTTTTCAGGATCAATACTGAGCTGACTTGAGACAATTGAGATGCTTTTCATCATACACGAGTATGAAGCATCTGAACGATGGATTGCCGCTCTTGCGTGTTTGCACCTCTGAATGCGGGCCTGCAATACCTCCGAAAAGCCATCCGATTGTACGACATTCGTAAGCCTTGCCACGGCACATCAGCAGCTCACGGAACTCGCGAGGGGAGTTGAGTGAACTCCTTGCCTGACCGTGTTGAGGATCTTTTGGGTGGCTACAGTTGTGCACGGGCACCTCGGTGTCCCGGTGGGTGATGTTGTAGAAGAGCCGGTCTGTATCGGAGAGGCGAACGCGATTTCTGAGTATGGGGTTCCTCTGGATCAGCTGTACCTCAGCAATTGAGCAAGACACAGGAACCTCAACCTCCAAAGGAACGCGAGGCACTTATGCGGCGATAGTATCATCAGTCCATGAAACATACGTTGCCGAAGTCGGCCTGAGTGTCGCACAACTTTCTGCCATTCTCGAAACCGAAACTCGCCTTTGACGCACATATGCCTGAGTGGCAAGTACAGGCGAGCGAATCATGCAATATCATGCAGACATCACGAGCGCTATGCTATTTTGCACACTGCAAAGCTTTGCATCGCAGTGAGTGCTGCCCCGCCAGGCCAGAACACTGCCAGCACCAAAAGCCTCTTAATCACTGAAGCCAACGAAGCCACGGCACCTAGAGCTGCTTTCCGTTTGCGTTTCTGGTACTGAAGCCTCTTGGGCATTGCATTGTTCCTGCGCAAGTTGCTCGAACACGGCGTCCACCCAGCGCTTGCCTCCCGTCTCCTTCGTGCCCGCAGCATCACCTTGCTGAAGCATTGCAGTCAAGCGAAACTGTGATTCTGCTCAGCACTATGTATGCTCAACAAGTCTGCAAAGGTCCCGTTGCAAAGGTGTCCGGTGTGCGGACCAATGCTTTCTCTTCCATACCCGGTTCGACAGACCCTACACTTCACATTCCAGCGATTGCATACAGTTTTTCTCACCCTGTTAATTTTAATCTTCGCTCAAGGAACTGGATGATGACTGGCGGAACACCCAAGAAATATCCTCCGCAACCTTGCGAAAGTCCTTGCGCTCCTGGTGCTGCAGAGGCAGCAAAGGGTGGAGGTGCTTGATGCTTGATAAATGTCAGGATTGCATCGGACAGGTTTGTCAATTTACCAGCAAGCAGCGAATGTCAAACGAATGGCGGCTTTCGTGTGCAGCATGACGACATGCTGAAGTAAAAGATGTTGCGCAACGTCAGGCCTGAATCACGGAGCTGCGCCGGTGTCGGAACAGGATCCTAAGTCGTCTTGGTGCAGGGGGCGTTCGTAGGCTGGCTGACCGACTGATTGACTGACCGAGCGACGAACTGGCTCGCTGACTGAATCGATCCCTCTCTCTTCTTCTTGCCGTTTGAGGTAAGAAGACACACTTCGGGTCGAGACTGCACGTTTCTCGGCAATCAGGCCAAGGTGCAGGTCAGTCTAGGCCTAGTCGCCCCCACGCTTCTCTCGCTTGCGCTCTCCCGCTCTCTCTTTCTTTCGGAAGGGAAGCAGGCAGAGGGGCGCGCTCACCATATTGTATGGGAAGCAAGGTGACAAAATTCAAGCCCCGGCAGAAGACATGTGATCAAGTCTTGAAGCACACCATAATGGCCAGTCAGATTCAGTCAAATTGTTACAAAAATGATGAGGTCCTCATTCTGTCCAGCCGAAGGTCTCACATGATTGCAACATGTGGCGGAGCTGGGATGTCAATGTGCAGCAACAGCAAGTACTAAGGAGTCGCTTGAACTACACTGCCAGTTGCACGGTTCTGCCAGCTCAAAATGCTGATCCTAAAGGGAACTCCCTCGGCTCGGCACTACTTGCTTTGCAGGCGGCTCAGTGCGGGTCAAAGGCTGCATGCATCCGCCGCCGCCGGTGTGTTCCAATTGTCCCGGAGATATCGCTGTCATTGTGCGAGGGTGCCCCCGAGGTCTCATGGTCCACAAATGTAACGCTGGGGTCGCGCCGGTGGATCAAGGGTTTCCCCCACTCTTGCTTTCAGCCAACAGCACACGCCTTAAGGAGCCCACGCGCTTCTGTTACCAAGATCGCGGCCTCCAGGCGTGGCTCGGAGCAGCGGTTCGTGGGCTCAAGGCTAATTGGGGTGTGTACCCCGACGGCTCCCACCGCGACGTTAAACTGCACCCTTGAAGGGGGGGTGGGGGGGCATCTCGTCTGAGAAACGGCATCGGCGTGTAGCTCAAGCCCGGAAGGCCCAGGGGGGCGGGTCCAAAATGGCTACCCTCTCTTCCCTTCGCCAGGGCTATGGTGGAGGGCCAAACCTCTTGCTTGCACGCAGCCAGAGGTAGGTCAAGACCCACCCCGCGCACGAGTGCGCACTGGTATGGGTTCGTGGTGAAATTTCTCCCCCCGGTGGTGCGAGGCGCCGTTCTGCACTGTTGTACCCCTTAAGGCCAAACCTCTCTCTCTCTCTCCCTATCTCTCTCTCTCTTCATTCGTCCAGCTTGAAGGAGTCACCGTAGCAATCAAGTTCGAACAAAGGTGCAGCATTGCAACTCTTCTGCGGAATAGCCACATTTGATACTGGTCGGCAAGCAGAGACAGTGTTACAGGAGCTGCTCCTTCGCCTCAACCGCACAGTGTCAGGAATTAGCCGCCATGGCACTGGCCGGCCACCTCGTGGAAGTGCATGTTACTCTGCCCTGCGAGCATCCTGAGTCAATGCTCTCTGGCAAGATACAAGCTCCGAAGCAGAACGCGCTGATCAGTGGAGTAGTGGTGTGCCCTAGAGAGAGGCCTGCAAGTAAGGCCTCAGTACTGAGGCCTGGCTGGTCGTGGCCACATGCTTTGCTTGATTCCGGCACGTTCTGCCAGGGGGGTCCAATTCTGATGGGGGCCGAGAGGCTGCACCGCAGACACGAAGACTTGCGGCTTGGAACCAACGGAGTTCTCTGCCTACGGCAGCGAGATTCAAAGTCTTGCCACCTCTGTCACGCAGAGCCTCAATTGGCCTTAACTGAGACGGTGTGTGTTGGGCTGGCGCTGTTCCCAGGCATTCAGAAGCGACACTGGCATCTTGAAGCACCGTGCGCCATGTCATGCCGTGCATGTTGACTCATGGCTGATCGTGTGGAGGGGGACTGTGCTTATTGCCACTGGGCCTCGCCAAGATAGCCTTTGGAGCCACTTCTGCGCAGAGGCTCCAGCGGCCAGGATGACCCCGCGCCGGTGAAGCCTCGTCGAGCCAATGACGAACCCGCAACGCAGGCCACAGACTAGCACCCAACGTTTCTTCGGCTTTTCGAAGCTGAGAGCTGAATCTGCACCGTCTGCACCCCCGGCCCTGCCCCACTGTTGGGGCAGCCCCTCTGCTGCCCTCGCCAGGCCTGATCCCTGCTTCGATTTGGACCTCGGCAGCGAGCACCTCAGCAGATCCCATTCGGATCCAAACGGGCCTAAGAAACCGTAACTCTGCACCAGCATTTCGACATATTACGACTATCGACTTCAGCACGCCCCGCAGAAGGCCGTGAAAGAAGTCTCTCACACAAGACACAGCAACGAAACCGCGTAGCCCCGCAGCAGAGACGGGCCACTTGCGCTGCAGGCCGACAGGGCTGCGTGCAGGCAGCAAGTTTGGAAGCAGCGGCGCCTTGCGTTGGCTGCAGTGCCACTTGAAACGCACCACTCGTGCACACACTCGTGCGGACTTCGCAGATGCGCCAAACCGCCGAGCATGATCCAGAGATCCAGAATCTGATGAGCCTTTTCCCTGCCATGAAATTGTGTGCTTGCACACACACGCACACCCACACACACATAGATCGAACCCCGGCGACACAGAAAAGAGGAACAGACCGCGGGCTGCAACAGATTGCGAAACCTCTGCGGTGGAGGAATGGAGCAATTTCCACAGGCGATCGCTACCAAAAATCTAAGCAGGCGAGGGGGAAGCCAAAGTCTTGCTCTTGCCTCGCCCGCAACATCGCCTGAGTGTCAGAGTGAACTGAGTCTCAGTGATCCGACTTGGTCTTCAGCTGCTAGCAAGAGCCAGATCACATCAGTGCTGCGCACCCGGTCTACTACGCATTACTACGCCATGTGCGACACACCGAAGCTCTGCTGACGCCCGGGCACCGACCCATGCCAAAGCATCGACTTTGCTCTCGGATGGCTGCCTCGAAAGCAGGAGCAATTGCATCATGGCCTAATCCTGCTGGCGTAGAAGCGCTGGCCAACATTGGGAGAGGGAAGGAATGCAGTAGAATCAGTGCAGCTGAGCATTGGGTGGATCCCTGACTGAGCTCTGCTGATCAAGGCTGATCGCCTGCTCGTCTCAAGCCTGTACTTTCAGTACTCTTTCAGCTTCCAGCGAGGTTTCTGTACATGCACTAAACCAAGATGATCCAAGCAATCATCGGCGGCCGGCTCGGCCCTCTTTAAATTGATGCGGCTATCGCGAATGAACGCAACGGGCTGCGCATCGAAGGCCTCTATTGACTATTGACGTTTCTCTTTACCGCTAACCGGATTGGGTCGGACGGACCTCCCCCGGCAGCACCACCAGCATGGAGCGTGCACGCGCACGCTGATGCAACAGCAGAAGTTGCAGCAAAACGTAAAGAAGAGAAGGGTGACGAAGAGTGGCATCGCTCGGATCCAAAGGCTCGGGCATGGCGGGATGTGCATGTAGAACTTTCCTGTCGCCTGGTTCACGATGACTTGGACTGCCCTCGACATGTCTCGACGCTGTTCATTCAGCTCTTTGATCTCCAGGGATCGACGGCGGAACGGCTCTGTCGCAATCTTGCGGATCGCCGCTGCAGAAGTTGTTGGAGTGGCTGCATGCTTGTCCAAGATGACAGCAACCCCGAGGTCTCTGTGCACCACAGCCACCGTCATCTGATCTGCGAAGAAAGGCATGATTGCCAAGGGCTTACCACTGGCAAGAGCTTCGTTCACACTGTTCATGCCACCATGTGACAGGAAACCAAAGACTGCCGGATGAGCAAGGACCGCGCGCTGCGGTGCAAATTTCGTTACCAGCACATTCTCTGGGATGGGGACATCTGGCTTTACTTTGGAAGCCCATAGAACAGTGAAGCCGCCTTGTTTAAACGTCTCCACCAAGAGCGCAGCATGCTCTTTGGACAAGCGGACCTCGCAGGGATGAGAAGCATCTACAATCAGCATTTATGTATTCCCGACTCTTCAGTGCCAGCGTTCATAGTGTGTGTCACAAGCTTGACTGCTTCTTAGTGCGTGCTAGTGCAACTGACGTCCACCTCAGAGCCAAAAGCCACGTACAGGACCTGTCTGGATGCCAGCTGCTGCTCGTCGAGCCATGCGATGACCTTCTCCTGGCAGGTGAATGTGTACAAAATTGCATGAAGGTCTCAAACGCAAGACGAAGCTTCACCGCTTTGATTGTTGCTGGTTTCGCATCTCCTTGTCGTCGCTCTTCATCATGCCACTCCCTCCCAGGCCAGGATGGTCCAAGATGCCAACGGCAAACCTCACAGAATCCGAGAGTACCCGGCACTCGGGGTGGGGCCAGCTGCGACGGGAGGCGTGTAGGGGCTCCAAGCCGTTGGCCTGCCAGCAGTGAGCTCCTGGGCTGGCATTTGTATCTCACGCGACGAGGGAGTGTGCTTTTCATTTCACATCTTCTTCTCCCAGGCTCTGGAAGGGTCGTGATGATAGCTGGGTGCTGTAGAACAGCATCAAACTGCCACACCTGTCAAGGACTCGAAGGTTCTAGCAGGCGAGTTTCGGAATCAGAGACAATCCGACCTCCAAGGGCCTCGGATGCCCGAGTTGGTAGCGGAAGTACCTGCACTGGCTTCCAGGACTGCATTTTTCACGCCTCAATTGGGATCGTTATGGTCTCCTGGGAGAGGCTCTCGTGGTTCAAGCTCGAAAACACAAAGCTTTCTTCCAGTCAGATCCGGGTACACGTTGATCATGCTGGCGATGCCTGTCAGAGTTCCCCCCAGTGACCCAGTGCAGCTTGGGCGTTGGGGTTGAATAGCAGGCTGGAGAAGGCTGCTGACATCTGCCTACTCTCTCGAGTCAGAATCTGACGGGTCCGACGACCGAAGGCATAGCACAGGCATCCAAAGCATTGACTTTTGCTGCGAGAAGGCCCTGCACAACTAGGCAAAGGTACGCTCGATGAAGAAGCCATGGATGCGCACTGCGGTGTTCTCCAGCATAAGCAGCGGGCTGTCGTAAAGTTCCTGGAAACAGACAGGTTCTGCAAGGAATGATGGGGCTTCCAGCACCAAGCAGAAATCACTTCGACGCTGTAGCTGCAACGCCCTCCGGGATTCGACAGCGCTGCGTGACTCTACTTCTTGCAGTTGGCAAAGCGGACCTCTTTAAACAAACCCTTCACTCTTTACCGAAAAGACTGAAGCAATGGATTCTGTATGGTCGCATACTCCTTACCGTCCATACCGCTTGACTCCTAGACTGGGGCTCGAGTTGAACAAGAAATACAAGGTTTCCTTTGTGGTCCCCACTGCTCCAACATGTCCTGGCGTGAGTGGATGGATCCCACGTTTGGTTCTGTAGCCGACGGTGGGTCTATCCTCGGCTAGGGGCCCAGCTTCAGCTCAGTTCAAATCTTAAGAACTCACAGCGTTCTCGCATGCTTGTCGAGGCTCTGCACGGTTAACCAACTTGGGGTTCCCCAGCCGATGCCCACAACAGGTATGTCCAATGCCTCGCAGATTGGGCGGGGTATATCTTAGCGAGTACATTTGCGATAATGAAATCTCCCCGCTCCGCCGCACCTCTCCCAAGGCATAGAAAGCAGGATAAATGTAGGGCACGCAGAGCACGTCGGGCTTCATCTCCTCCGCAAGTCTCTGCCGCAACGGAACGGAGCATCCTAGACTCCTAGACACTTGGCATAGGAGACTTCGAGCTCCGAGTCTCCTGCAGGGCTGGCTTCAACTTCAGCAGCATTGGGCCTTCAGAGGGCTCTCAGCTCAACGATGCCTGCTACGGCCAGCCATCTCCGGCCTCCCATCAGGGCGTTCAGCATCGGCATGGTCACGGAAGTGAGAAATTGTGCAGCTCTGTACGACGTGCTCTGCAGAAAGTCCCTTAGATTTCTGGCGTGGCTGTCAAAGCAATTCCTGTGAGGACTGCGGACTGCATCGAATCTGCAGAGCTTTAATCGATGTGCCTGAACCCTCCGACCTGGTGCCAGACCATCAAGAAGTTGTAGTTGTTTCTTTACTACAAGACGCAAGAGTCTGATGAAGCGAGTCTCACCGCCGCAGCACCCTTCTCACGGTCCATCGAAGATGGGCCGATGTCGACCATTTTCGCCTGTGGAACCAGTTTCCTTAGCTGGTTCGGAAGCAAAATCAGGTAGCGGAGGTCACATGTTGTATCTTAGGAGTACATGCAGCACTAACCGTGTAGCAATCGTATAGCGGCAGTGGTAGCGGCGGTAGCGGTAGTGATACAGTAGCAGTAGCAGCAGTCATAGCAGCAGCAGTACGAGTAGCAGGAGCAGTGGCAGTGGCAATAGCAATAGCAGTTGCCGGAGCAGTAGTAGTGAGAGTAGTGAGAGTGGTGTGAGCATGGTGAAAGTTCAACAGCAAGAGCAGGAGGAGGTAGTCGTGGCAGCTCTCGTTTTCATGTTCGTTGATCGAGGACGGCATCCTCGTCACGGTCGTCGTCGCCACTGGCAGTGTCGTCGTCATCATGGAATACTTCGTTGCGAATGAGTCGTGGTCCTCTTCGTTGTCGCCCTCTCGTTGGCGATCGCTGTCGTCGAGGCAGTATTGCTCGATATTACCCCACTATTGCCACTCCCTCTCCTGCTACTAGTACGGACGATGACGACTACAAGAAGAAATACGACTCCGTGGCTCCGTCGAATCAATGATACAAAGAAGCTACTGCGGCTGCTGCTTACATGTGCACGTAATTTCTATCACTGCTTAATATCTACCTATCTATCCATTTATCCATCCATCCATCCATCCATCCATCCATATCTATGTATATAAATGTAAACATATACGTATATCATTTTGCCTCTTTGGTGTGCTTACTTACTTCATTTTGGCCAGAAGTTATTTGCATACTTCTGTTTGGACTTGACGAATGTGTGGAAATACATTCAACGGCTAGTCTGGGGCGGTCGATGCTTCCTCATGTCAGAAGGAAGTCAAAAATGCCACACCTGCTTCGTAGTTCAGCCCGGGCACTCTATCTTTCTCACTGTCTCGTCGTGGGCCAGGAAGCTTACGATGTGGTCTTCGTCAAGAAGGCCATGGGCAATCGGCAACATGGACCTGGGCATCGGGCGGCTGGAAGCATGTTGATGAATGCGTTGTTCACAGGAAGAACTCACTGGTCATTAACAGGACTTTAAAAAGTAAGTATGCGAGCAAGCCAAAAGAAACACAAGTAATTATTATTGCGTAGGTAGCCGCAGTCATCGTCAAACAGCAACAACAAGAGCAGCAGCAGCAGCAGCAGCAGCAGGCAGCAGCAGCAGCAGCAGCAGCTGCTGCTGCTTCAGCTTTTGCAACAACAACAACAACATCAACAACAACAACAACAACAACAACAATTTTTATTGGACGCTGAGCGAGCGGGCTCTGCTCATTGCGGGCGTGTGAGACTGCCTTTGCACCTGAACAAAGGTCTGAGAGCAGAAATGCTAAGGGCCTGGGCCTGAAAGCGCTGAAACAGGCTACCGTGAAGAGAGCCACCCTACAAGCTACCTCAAAAGCCGGTTCATGCGTCTCAGGCGTAGGTGAGAAACCCTCCGTCACCCTCAGTGTGGACTATGGCGTCCCATGTCCACGGACCGATGATTGATGAGCCGTACCCCCTCGGGACCGTCACTCCGAGTGCCTGTTGCGTGGCGTCCCACTCATGGTCACTCTCAATCAAAGGCGATGGGCCGTAAGGTCGCAAAGGTGATGAGCATGTGGAACGGCTGCTAGTGCTGTTATCTGAGGCAGCTCCGCTTTTGTGGGCAAGCAGATTGCATCGGTGAACGATGTGGCACACCCTGGCGGTAAGCACACTGTGCCTAATAAGGGCCTAATAAGCTAACCTTATTCGTAAGAGGCGTACTCCCCTCCAGAGGCCAGGCTTGCCAGGCAATGGCTTGGGGGCCTCGGACAACCCCCCATTCTCGAGCCGAGAATGGGGGGTTGCAAAACCTTGATTTTTAGGCCTCGGACAAACCCCCCTTCTCGAGCCGAGAATGGGGGTTTGTAAAGCCGATTTCAGCCATTGGTCAGCTGTGTTGCTGACAGGCGTTGCCTTTCTGGGAAAGCAGCGAGCGTTGCCCGACTAGCATGACAGGTATAGGCCGCTATTGCACACAAACGCTGAGTAGTGGAGCTACGTCAGCTGTACGACTTGAGCAGCAAAACTGAACAACAGCGTTCCTGCTCCCTGCCGTGTAGGCAGGTCGGTCCCACAGAGCCAGTAGGTCGCCCCCTTCCTGCAAGGGGAAGTAGGGGCCCCTGGCCTCAGGGGAACCCTCAGCTTAATCATCTGAAACTTGGACTGGCATAGGGCCAGCCTCCGCTGTGTGCGGTATTGAACCAAGTCGCACGAACAGCACATAGCAGCCGTGGCGTGCCTGCCTGAGATCTGAATCTGAGGCCTGAACCGACGGACGACCATCGTCCGTGCTGAGCCAAGGTTGATCGGGGTTGCTCCTCCAGAGGGAGCGATAATGTCCACTGTGCGGGGTGTCACCTATGTGGAAGATACAGGACTGAACCCATCCTTTCTCTAGTTGTACGGAGCCCGTCGGGGCCCACTGCGAGAGCTGAAGGGGGTGGTGCAGACCAGTGACAGCATAGCTGAGCTTGCGGCCTTCAACAAATCGCGCCACTGTGAGAACCACCAGTCGTTGCTGCCCTCGAAAGGCGGTGTGCACCGGCTGGCCAGACCACCGAGAGAGCAGCTCCTGAAGTGCATGGGATCCACCTGTCGTTGGAGCTGGCAGCAAAGCGAGCGGACCTCCCGCATCGGTGACCTCAGTAGTGTTTACATCCCTGACTTCCCAGGGTCGTGCAATCGGAAAGGCGGTAATGCCTGCAAATAAGGCCACTAGAAACTCCGAAGCATCTTGTTGTTGGCCATCATAGCGCCAAGTGGGAGTAAGATGGCGAAGCGTGAAAGAGGCAGTCAGGGTGAAAGGAGAACCAGAGACAGAATCAGCCACTTCCTGATGGAGGGAGGTGCTTGCCCCTCCGTGCTCCAGCAAGATGCACGTCGGCACCAGGGCCGAAAGCGTTGAGTTAACATAGCAGTAGTTGGAGATGTTGCGCAGCGAGCGAGGAGCAGCGAGCGCGCCGTCCTTTGATTCTACTGTCCCTGACTTCGGTGGCAGGGGGCCTGCAGGCGTTGCCTGGCGAGTCTGGGGCGTTGCTCCAACAGCGGTGGTATCGTCCCGTGTGGGTGCGTTGCCTTGTGTCGTGCCAACCGCTGGCATGTACCTGCGTAACGGTCCGCCCTGGCAGCGGGAAAGTGCATGAACCAAGTCATAAAACAGAATCTGAAAAAGGATCGGACATTGTGCCGGATGCTGCCTCTTATCCGTAACAGGCTTGCGGCAGCACGGGCAAGGCATGCCCTTGACAAGGGTCAGGCCTGATTTGCTGCTCTGAGTTGCAGCTGTAGCGCCATGAGCCGCCCATTCAGGTTTGTGGGCCTGCCGGATGTGAGACTTGAGCTTGGTATTGTCCGGGGTCCAGAACCCACACAGCAAGCAATGTGACATAAGGTCCTGAGACTCATCAGATCGTCCGAGCTCCACAGCCGTGTGTGTTGTCAGAGTGTCATGCAAGCGCTGCTGCCTGGGATGCAATCTGGGCTGATGCTGCGAATCCAAGGGAGGGTGCGCCGCGTCATCCAGCTCCTGTAGCCTAGCTGGCTCCGAGCAGGCACCTGATAGCAAGTGGTCCTTTAAGCCCTTCATCTGAGGGAATTGCCTGTTGCAGGCCGCACACTTGGGGAGCCCTCCTACAGAGAGGGTGTGGGAGAAGCCTCGAGGGACATATCTGATGACCGAGCCTGGATGCTTGCGGGCCTGGTGGGTGCGAAAACCGACCTCAGTGTCGGGGGGCCTCCTGCTGTGATGTGTCCTTAGAAAGTTGCTGCAGAACGTCTGCATAACTAGTAGAGAGTGCCTCCGCCTGGAGAAGCGCGCGCTGGGTTAAAGAGATGTCCCCCGCAGGAGTTTTCCACCGTCGAGCACCTAAGCGCTTGACACGATTGGCCTGTCGCGCCTGCAGCTTACAGACAGGGTCCATGATCTCATGGGAGGCATAGAGGTCAGCCGTGGATATGTGTGTCAGGTGCGCTGGCTTGTTCAGGACAGCTCGAATTTTGCGAGCGTGCCAAGCCCGCAACAGTTTAGCTGTCTCTAGGGTCAAGCCCACATCCACCAATCCAGAGGCTACTGTGGCCCAGACAGTGCTATGCCAAATGTGCAACCGCGATGCAGGCCCCGCCGTTCGTCTGTTGTGAACGAAGCGGCGTACCTGCTGCAATTTCACATTGCCCTCCTGCAACCGGAACTTGAGAGTAGCCTTCTCGAAGTTGGAGTAGGAGAGCATGACGCCGAGATACTTAAAGGACGTCACCAGCGGAAAGCCCTCGTGAGACTTGGACTCTCCCAGTCTCCACATCTTATGGCGGGTTCCGTCAGGCGCGGTGCGCCAATAAGTGTGCTTGGAGATGGCGCGTTGCGCCTGTTGGCCCTCGAGTTTGACCATAACAGTGCATTTTGCACCGTTGACAGCAAATCCATGGCGACGGACCAACTGCAACAATTGCTCAATCAGAGCATGAGCGCGATCCAGGTCCTCCATTGAGTGGATGTCACGGTGAACCGTAAGGTCATCTGCGTAGCCCGTGAGGTAGTCCACCACGGCTCGAACCCCAACAAGAGCTATGAGCTCCCGGAAGATGGTGCCCGTAAGCATGGAAAAAAGTGTGGGGGCAAGCTTACACCCCTGTTTAATGCCCGCAGTGGACTGGACCGTGTCCTCTTCACCCTGGGTGCGAAACGTGTAAGCACTGCCAGCATGCAATGAGGCAACTAGGTCAATGAGGTCTTGCGGGACTCCCGCTTCCTGCAGTGTGCTAAGCAAGTCTGTTCTGCTCACCATGTCAAAGGCTTGTGACAAGTCTAGTGCAAAGCAGATGCCACCTACTAGCTGGGGACGAGTTCGTCCCGAGTGAAGCTGATGCCTGGTTCGTCGGGCCTCCTGGCAGTTATTGCGTACCTGAGTGACATGACCAACGACCCTGCTCAAGGCATCTGAAAGACCGCGATGTGGCTGGTAGGCAAATTGTGGGAGACCCCGAAGATAGTCAGCCGTGTAGGGAGACAGCTGATCTCTACAAGCCCCCGCCAGGCCCTTGCCGTCTGGTCGAATGATGCCGAGGGGACGTAGATTGCCAGGCTTCGTGGCCGGCTTGTTAGGCTTTGGGATAAAACACAAGTCAGCATCCTTTAAGGGCGGCTGAAGTACCTCAGCAGCCGGCAATGGGCGTTGCCCCCGAGATTGCAGCGATGCTGCTAGCGCCTCTCCCGCAGCCGCCGAGCAGAGCCGCCAGGCAGCCGCCGGAGCAGAGCCAGCAGACCAGCCGGGATTTCCGGCAGCGAGTCCACCTGGTGTGCGAGTGGCGGATGTCTGGCAAAGACCTGTTCCACGTGGTCTCTAAGCAGGCGGAGCTCAGAGGTAGAGTCCAACAGCAGACCATCCGGTCCCTGAAGCTGTGCCTTAGTTTGGGGTTCCCAAGGTCGGAGCTTCTTTAAGGTCTTATGTGCGATGTAGGAATCGTGTCTGGCACACGCCTCATCGACCTCAGCCTGGAAAGCTCGGTGTCGTTCCTTCTTGGCTAAGTAGAGAGCCTGCTTATGCCATCGATTCAGGTCCTCCAAAGACTGATCTAGGTCGGATAAGGTGGTTATGGAGTCCTCATGCAAAGAACGAATATGGGCGACTCGACTCCACATTCGCAGCGTCACACGGTGCTGAGCAGTTTCGGGAGCTTGCTGAGGCCGTGGTTTGGGGAAAAACAGTGCAGAGGCCTCCAGCAGTACCTGATTAACTTCATCAGGCGTGTGAGTCCGAGAGGACAGACGCTGGCCCACCCAGTCTTGCATGCGACCGGCTATTGGCAGACCTGAACGGACAGCCGTCTCTAGAGCTTCCTTATGAAAGGTCGTGGAAGGACAAGTAGGCTTTGGCAGATTCCAGTGCTGGGTGGGTCTGAGTTGAGCCAAGACTGGAAGGTGGCCGCCCCTCTTCCATTTGC